TTTAACTTTTGGGGAGAGTTAAGAGCTCAGATGTATAGGAAAACAAATTAATAGTAAAGTTAAGCATAACTGCATAAATCTGCTCTAATGTTGTTAGTGTATCTTCACTATTAGAAGTTAATTAAGGCTGTGTACCTGTCAACTGAACAGCTTTTTTGAACTCGAATTAATTTAAGACATCTTTTTAGCCTGTTAAAATTAAATTCTTTCATTTTTTTAAAAAAAACAACACCAAAATCTTGGAAAGTCAACAGTTTAGATGCTAAGGGCATTCTATTGTAGCCTACATAGATGTAATTCTGATGTCATGTTTTATTGCAAACACAGAGCATATTTATTTCATTTGACAGCGATTCAAGATTTCCATACTAGCCTCTTATTGGCTCAAAAAGTATCCAGCTAGGCTCTGCTTTGTAATTGCTTTGGGATTCCCTCGCTGGTTGATCTTTTCTACTGCAGAAAATGTTAATAAACTGAAATTGGATAACTTTGAAGAGTCTGTGCATTTATTTATCTGCCCCTAAGAGGGGCGTGAAAGGAATGCATGTGGTAATTAATAATGGGCTTAATTAAGTCCTGGCTCTGGTGGATATATTGGTGTTAGTTCAGATACACAATGGGTGCTTTAGGGCGATGGCCATCTCAAGGGTATCACAAGGATGGCTTGAGGAACAGGAGAGGAAGACGTTCCCAGAACCTATCAGGTGAAACAGAAAAAAGGACCCCAGACTCCAACGCAAGCCTCATTTTATGCCCCCCCCCCCCCCACGTCTCTCAGTTCATTGAGGAGACATGATAGCCACGTACAAATATGTGAGGGGAAGTCATAGGGAGGAGGGAGCAAGTTTGTTTTCTGCTGCCCTGGAGACTAGAACGCAACACAGTAGCTTCAAACTACAGGAAAGGAGATTCCACCTGATCATTTGGAAGAGCTTCATGATTGTGAGAGCTGTTCAGCAGTGGAACTCTCTGCCCTGGACTATGGCGGAGACTCCTTCTTTGGAGGCTTTTAAACAGAGGCTGGATGGCCACCTGTCGGGGGTGCTTTGAATGCCATTTTTCTGTTTCTTGGCAGGGGATTGGAGTGGATGGTCCTCAAGGTCTATTCCAACTCTATGATTCATTGTGAAAGATCATAATAATTTGAGGGTATTGTTTCCTGAAGTCCGGGGTGTGTTGGGCAATATTCCAAAGCAATTCATTAAGGGTTACTACAGGACAAAGGTACATGGACTCACTGCATGTCTCAGTGGAGCTGTGTCTAGAAATTCATGTAATTCATAATTTGGGGACTAATTTTTCAATCACATAATAAAAACTGAGCTCGGCAATGGCATCTGTTCATTTGTAGTATTATCACTATAGTTAGCCTGCAATGTGAGGCTCCTAAACACTGAAGTGCTTCCTGACAATTGAGAAAGGCCTTTTGTAATATTCTCCTCTGTAAAATGAATCCATTTGCATTTAATTTATAAGGGGCTATCTAGAATTGACAATTACAATAGTTTGAAAAAACATATCTGTCAAAACTGAATCTGTTTGTAGGCTGGTGAAATACTCATAATTTTACTGGTACATACCTTTATGTACTGGAGATCTTTGACAGAAAGTTCTTACTTCACAAAACTACAAATCCCAGGAATCCATAGGTTCAAACCATGACAATTAAAGTGGTATTAACGTGCTGTAATTGAGCAGTGTAGACCCCTTTCCACGGTGGTTGGTGCCCACCAGTGTTGGTGGATGACAGGATAAGGACACTGTAGGACAGTGGTTCCCAACTTTTATTTGACCAGGGACCACTTTGACTAGGGACCACCCTCAACATTAGCACCAAAAGGGTTACGAATCAGTTTTTGGTAAACTTTAGATTCGGTTTGGGGTGCCGATTCAGAAATGCATTGGATAGACCACATCAGTTCTAGTTTCTGATACAGAACATATGCCATGGTCAGGAACAGAAAAGGAGTGGCAGGCGGAAGGAGCGGAAATAAAATAAAGAGGAAGGAGGCTTGCGAACCAGATTTTCGTCCTCGAGGCCCACTGGTGGTCTGCGGCCCTCAGGTTAAGAATCACTGTAGTAGGAGGTGCTTAAAGGGCACCAAAAAGATACAAGAAGCACCTACTGATTTCCCCAGCCTTCTTCCTACATACACTTAAGCACTGCAGGACAACTAACTTGAGGGAAAAGATGTCACCAAGTTCGACTTGTGCTTAACACACAATTTTATTAAGGGTGCCTTTAGGGCAGGTATGGGCAAACTTGGGGCCCTCCGTGAGGCAAACGAGCCGTTGCGCCCTAAACGCCCTAAAGCAAGCATGGGCAAGCTTAGGCCCTCAAGGTGTTTTGGACTTCAACTCCCACCACTCCTAACAGTCTCGGGCCCTTTCCTTTCCAGGAAAGGAAAGGGCCTGATGCTGTTAGGAATGGTGGGAGTTGAAGTCCAAAACACCTTGAGGGCCTAAGCTTGCCCATGCTTGCTTTAGGGCGTTTAGGGCGCAATGGCTCGTTTGCCTCTGAGATAACTAGGGGCACAGCTCCACTGGACACTACTTTAACTGCCACTGCTCAACTAGATATTTATTTTATTTCAAACATTTGTACCCCACCCTTCTCAACCCTCGAGGGGGGGACTCAGGGCGGCTTACATCCAGCACAATTCAATGCCATTACATATAAATAATACATACAGTAATTATATATAAGAACACAGTAAGTTAATTTTAAAATAAAAAGTACATTAATAAAAAGTGCAATAATACTGGCTGTCTAGCCTTATGTAGAAACAAATTCAGCGAGCACAATGTAGGGGCAAAGAAACCAAAATATTTCCCAAAAAAGACAAAAGCCCCCTAATAAGGAGGGTAAGGATGGACACCACGAAAGTTGATTTTTTTAAAACTGCAAAAAACTATTTATTGCGTGGCCATAACAATAATGACAAAAAAACATACAGGGATGCAATCAAAGGGTTTGTCGCAACCCCCCAATGGGGCTGCAGAGCTTTTATAGTAAATGGAATATACATTTTCACTGGTTCCCAAAGACAAATCATTTCATTGGTCTAAGCTAGTTATACAGTTGTTCATTTGTTGTTTATGATTTTGATTGACATTATAGCACACGTGGGATCCTAACAATGGCACAACTATAACACAACTATAGTCCATTGTTTTCTGACCATGACTGTATCTTATCCGTTAGTCTGTTGCAAATATGGCTCCAGAGCGACTGGGAAACTTGGGGATTCTAACTAGCCACAAGCTAGCTGGTTTTGTCCGGATATACTGTTATCCTTGAATAGTAACTTCTTCTTTGGAGCACTGATTTCTCAAACAATCAGCATTTTCTGTAAACATAGGCCTACTGCAGAAATAGGCCAATGTGGCAGTAACTCATGACATATGGGCATTGGGAACATCTCTGAAAATTCCCTTTTTAAAACCACATCCCCTCTAACAACACAATCAGAAGTCTGCCCATAGTCCATTTTCCATAACATTGTCATAATTACCATTGTCAATCATCTGCCAGCTACCCAAAGGCCTGGTCCCATAACCACCTTTTCAATTTCCTCTTGAAGGCGAGGAGGGATGTTGTGCTGGTACAGCCGTACCAGAAGGTCCCACTTTGCTTTGTATCAAATGTTTGCTTGCAGTCAGGGTTTCTGCAGATAGGTGTCTTCCTCTGGTTGCAGTGATAGGGCAAGTCACCTGTCCATCATCTTTAAGTTTTGGTCCCGCCCCTTGCTCAGGGCAATTGGGAAGGGAAGGGGGCCATTTTCAGTCAGTTGTAGCCAGGAAAGTCAATGTACAGGACGTGTACAGACTTTCTCCTGTACAAAGGCTTCAACTCTTAAGACCTCCCGGGGGAGAACAGTCTTAAGAGCATCTAAAGATTCCCAAAGGTTCCAGGGAAACAGCCTTACAGCCCTGAGGAATTTCAGAGGGAATAACAGTTTTAAACATCAAGAACTCCAGTTAAGTGACTACAGGCCTACTGGTAGGTCCACTCGGTTTTGAGACGCAGTTCAGTGGATCCACATCAGTTAGGTTTAGGTTCACAGTTAGCCTGGGAGGAGCTAGAAAGGGATTTTCCTTTAAAGTAAAGCAAAGAAACAGTTAGAAGCCACCAGTTGCTTGAAACCTGGAAGCATTTGTTTAACCTTTGAAGACAAAAGAAGTTCCTGTTCGATTGTTCATCAATAAAGACTTTGCTCAAGCCCTCTAAAGACTGTTTATGGGGGAAAATCTCTAAAAGCTTCTCTTTGGGGGCCCTGGCTTCCCGTTGGGTTCAAGTTGCACGTCCTGTTTTAAAAGCAATTTGTTTTAAGCCCAGCGGCTACAGAACAGATGTTGTTGACTTGATTTCACTGGGGAGCAAGTTCCACAGGTGGGAGGCCATCACCGAGAAGGCCCTGTCCCTCAACCCCGCCAAGCGTGTTTGCGCCAAAGGCAGGGCCAAGAGCAGGGCTTCCCCAGAAGATCTTAAACTTCGAGGTGGGACGTAGAGGGATATACAGTATATTCTGGCGTATAAGACTACTTTTTAACCCAAGAAAATCTTCTCAAAAGTCAGGGGTCGTCTTATACGCGGGTGTAGTCTTATGCATGGGAGTCGTCTTAACTCTATATTTTAACTGGAAAAGTTGGGGGTCGTCTTATACGCCCAGTCGTCTTATATGCCGGAATATACGGTATGTTCGGACAGGTAAACTGGGCCAGAGCCATATAGGGCTTTAAAGGTCAAAACCAGCACTTTGGACAGTTTGGTGAGGTAAGAGCACTCTTTGGCACAGAAGGGGAAAGACGTTGTAAAACTTCCAACTCCTCCAAGATGCTACAGAATTCTGCCAGGGCAATTAAAAGCAGAAGTGTATTTAAAGCCTGTAGTAATGGAGATGGGGGAAATGAAGACAACTAGGCCGCCGCAGCCGGGCCCCTCCCGTTGCCATGGAGACAGGCGAGAAGGGTGTAATCCGACGCAGTGAGGTCACAGGGGGAGGGAGCGGGGCACGTAGGCGCGCGGGGCGAAGGCGTAATCATCATCGGCGGCGGCCGCGCGCGGGGGCTCGGCTCTTCTGAGCGCGAGGAGGACAGGCCAGTGTGGGACTGAAGGGAGAAGGGGAGGGGCAGGAGCAGGCGCGCGCGTGTGCCCAAGGCGCGAGGACAGAGAAAGAGAGAGAGGGGGGGAGACAGAGAGAGAGAGAGAGGGAAGACACGCTGACAGAGTTGAGGTGCGTGCCTTCCTGCCTTGCGGTCTGTGGGACTAGACGCCGGGGCAAAGCGAAGGAGGAAGGAAGGAAGGAAGGGGGAGGGGTGACAGAGAGTGAGGGGGGAGAGGAGCGACTGCTGCAACAGCCAATTAGAAGGCAGGGCTGAGGTGTTCCCCCACCAATCGGGGCGAGGGGGTGTTACCTGTGAGAGCCCGCCGGCCAATCGGACGAGCGGCATCCGCGGCCGGAGCCGGAGCCGCGCGCCAATCGCTGGCCAGGAAGCACCCGCGAACGCGGAGCCGGGGATGTCCTACAAGCCTATCGCGCCCGCCCCCGCCAGCTCCGGAGCCGCCGGCACGAGCAGCAGCAGCAGCAGCGCCAGCCCCGCCCCCGGAGCCCCGCCGCTCGGTAAGAAAGAGCCCCCACGACTCCCTGTCCCTTCTTGCCTTTCCCCGGGGCCGCTTCCTCCCTTCCCCGGCACAATGCGGAAGACTCCGGGCGGAATCACAACACGAGGCACCCCAGGGAGGGCGGAGAGAGCACTCTCTCAGGGCCTGCTGCACCCAAACTTTTGTTTCCTGCCCCAAAAGTGTTCGAAAGGTTGTGTTTACATTGGGACTTGACTCCCACCCACCAGATATTTCCTTACCAACAGTCTAAAGCAGGCATTGGCAAACTTGGGCCCTCCAGGTATTTTGGACAGCTCCCACAATTCCCAACAGCCTCAAGCCCCTTCCTTTTCCTCCTCAGTCATAAGCCACTGAGGGGGGAAAAGGAAGGGGCCTGAGGCTGTTGGGAATGGTGGGAGTTGAAGTCCAAAACACCTGGAGGGCCCCAAGTTTGCCCATGCCTCATCTAAGAGCCTGAAAGTAATTTTATACACCATATTTCTAATTAATTTGTGAACCAAACAACTTTTGGGTACATTGAACTATCAGAAAGTATACTCCCAAAATATTGTGATTAGAATTACTTTCAGACCTGGGTCCCCCAAAGTCTCATTATGTACATTTATGCAAATACAAATAATAATAATACTTATATCCCACCACATCTCCCCATGGGAACTGAGGCCAGCTAACAACATAAAAAGGCAAACATTCAATGCAGTCATAAATTAATAAAACATATAAAAACAGTACTGCGTTCAGTAATATAAACACACCATAATCAACAATAAAACACGAATCACGCACTAAACAATACACATAGAATAAAAAGCCAAACTCAAAAAAATAATTATGGTTGGAATTACACTCAAACTTGGGTCCCATCGACCCAATATCTCATTATGTACAGTGGGATAAATCCTTGAGCCTGCTGGACTGTAGACTGACAGGTCGGAGGTTTGAATCCAGGGAGAGTATGGATGAGCTCCCTGTCAGCTCCAGCTCCCCATGTGGTGACATGAGAAAAGCCTCCCACAAGGATAATAAAACATCAAAAACATCCCCTAAGCAATGTCCTTGCAGATGGCCAATTCTCTCACACCAGAAGCAACTTGCAGTTTCTCAAGTTGCTCCTGACACAGGAAAAAAATTATGCAAGAACAAATATTTCAAACTCCCAAAAATATTGTTTATGAAATTACTTTCAGTGGGTTGCTGTGAGTTTGCCGGGTTTTATGGCCATGTTCCAGAAGATTCTTTCCTGATTACTTTCAGGCTTATAGACTTTTAATCTACCCAATATCTCATTATGTATATCTATAGAACTACAAATATTCCAAAATTCTCAAATACTGCATATAAAATTAATTTCAGACTTTTTGACTCAGATCTCATCTACCAGATATCTCCTTAAGTACTTCTGTACAGATATTCTAGACTTCCAAAATACTGTGTATACAATTACCTTTAGACTTGAGTCCTATTTACCTCCTATCTCCTTATGTATACAAGTACAACTATAAATATTCCAATCTCCTGAAATAATTACAATTTTGTTATTATATTTATTGGTATCACACTTATCTTGCAACCAAGACGCAGGGTAACTTAAGTATTGGGTATAATGTTAGCTTCTTACTTTGAGACTTGACTCCCATATATCAGATATTTCATTTTGTGTGTCTATGCAACTACAGATATTCCAGACTCCCAAAATATTGTGTTGAAAATTACTTTCAGACTTTGAGACTTGGGTCCCATCTACCAGGTAGCCCATTATGTACGTATATACAACTACAAATATTCCAAACTCCCAAACATTTCTGATCTCAAATATTTTGGATAAAAAATGTCAGCCTGTATTGCGTATTTTAATGTTCTTTAAAAAGAAAATGACATTAATGACTAAGACAGGCTATGCAAATGTTGGTTTCTTGCCACAATATTTGTGTTACGTGCAGAAAATGCAGATGTGCAAATCTTCTCATGAGCCCTGCCAGAAAAATTAAAACTTGAATTGCTAGGATTGCCTTGAGGGTTGGAATGGAGGAGGAGATGAAAAGATGAATGCTCATCCTGCAGAAGGAAACCCCAGTTTGCCCAGTATAGTTGCTTAGCATTACACTCCAAGGATAAAGTCCTGTACCCAGTGGTTCCTTTCTTAGTTCCACTGAACACTTCTGAGTCAATGTGAACCAGACTCATTGCAAGTTTTGGGTGGTGCTCTATGGAATTAGCAATCAAAAAGTATTGCTGAAAAATTAGAAAGAACTGCAACTTTCTCTGTAGTTTTCAGAATACCAAAATAGCTATGGACATATGATTATGGAAAACAATATTAAAGGCATGAACTGTTAAACATATATACACAAAACTGATACATCATAGTGCTTGGATTCAGTGTACCAGAAGTTTCTTTCACTGTTTGTTTTCGATACTTCTGGTTGGGCTTTGCTCAGAATCTCATAGTCATATGAGGAATGAAGAGAATTTGTCTCCATAATATGGTATATTGGCTTTCAGCTCTATTATGTGTGTATATGTATGTTGGTTTCTGGAGCTTGCTTGTGCCAGACAGAAACTGTCTCTTTGTCTTTGAATGGCAGAGATGGATTAAAGATGGAATAGTGACTTTACTTGCACAAAGGTAGTTTCATAAACGCTATCTCATGTAAAAATGTAAGAGCCTGTCTACCCCCACATACCTATGTTTGTCATCTGGACAACACCCGCAGCGTAATGAAAAGGAGCAGCAGAGCAGAGAGGCTATTTGCATATCTGAAACCAAATGGCTGCTATTCTAGTTGTTGAAAGGCTTGAGGGGGCAGGAGAATGCCAGGCATACAGCCTTGGTAGGAAGCCATTCCCTGAATTCAGAAATCAGTGGGCCCCATCTTTACTTGCCAGTTTGAAAGAAAACACATTATTTGCAAAAGTAGCTTTGGAAAGCTATTTCCTGTGAAACTGCACTAAAGTAATACCTGCAGTGTTTCATGTGGTTTTGCTTGCAATAGCCATAAGTGACTCTATTGTGCAAGTAAAAACATGCAAGTAAATTGAGCAACAAATGTAAGTTGGGCTTTACTGAAAAAAAGGAGTTAATAATCCGTAATGAACCAATCCCTGGTTCATCAATGCAATCCTCTTAATAAAGAAGTTGGTGTTTTTATTTTTCTGGATTTTTCAAATAAACTAATTGACTTGCTTTCCATCCCTTTTGCCTTCTGTGCCCTCAAATTAACACCAGATGCTACACAGACTACCCAGACTCCTATTGCTAGCATAAGAATGCCCATTTATTTTCTCAATTAAAGACTGTGTTTACAGATTTCTATTATTAGACCATTCCCTTGAGTTTGAATAGCTTTCCTAGTTCTAACTCTGATTTATTCAGTGATTATTTTGGGCTATTCTTTTTGTATCTGTTGTTATACTGAGGCATTTAATGTTTGCCTTTTTGTTTGTTGGAATCCACCCTGAGTCCCCTCAGGGAGACAGGGGTTAGGAAAATAAACTATTATATATTTTTATTGTTCCTGTACATTTATGCTAACTAACTGCATGCATATCATCTATAGGATCCTTTGTAAAGAAACTTTTAGGATGACATACAACACCAAATGTCAAAGCGCTGTAGGCCAAGGATCATGTGAATGGGATGAATAGTGGCCATATTCAGGCCCCTTCCACACAGCTAAATAAAATCCCGGATTTTCTGCCTTGATATTCTGGGTCATATGACTGTGTGGAAGGCCCTCAGACAGATGGGTGGGTTATACGGGTGACTGCTATTTTTATTCTCCCGCTTTGTCTTGAAGAGAATAATATTTATTCTTAAGTTGACTGACAGGAAGTTATGGCACCACCACAAACTTCTGTGGTTAAGGCTAAAAGAGTCAGGAAAATGCTGTGTTCATATGATGCATACATGCATTGTGTTAATTCTGCTATCATAAAAACCTTGTTGATGCTCTTAAGGGAAGCCAACTCAGATCATGTTGTATGACAATAACATTGGAGAAACAAGGGCAAGTGGAAATGCTAAAAACTTGAGTGAGAGGTAGACTGGACTGTTTTTACTTTAGGTCTGACAAAGGAAATTGACCTGTTATAACACAGATGTGCATGAGCAAATGTTCCATTCCAAGACTGCCAAAAGTGAGTCAGAATGCACTTGAAATTCTTGAACTGCATTCAAATCTATCACCAAAACATTTTGTTAGTAGCCCTTTATAACTATGGCCAAGATCCAACAGCTTACTTCACTATTCATTGCTAATGGATACTAGATTTTCTCTTAACATCGCGGAAATAAATGGAGCTGTATTCTCCAGATGCCACCGACATCACCTATTCAAGGTGCCTCATGTAGAGGCTTATTTCTCTTTGATAGAAAAGTGCTGTGTGTGTTTATATATGTATATGTATATGACTCTTTTCCTTCATAGTAAAGGGAGAAATGCTGCATGTGTATATGCTCCCCACATTTAAATCAGGAATTTGCAACCCATTCCACTCACAAATAAATATAAACCACTCCTTTATTTAGTTTTGCTGCATTTGTCCTCTTGATTGCTTTATACTTGTGTGTTCACAATGGGGTTGATCTCATCTGTGCATATAGGTTGTATTATTGGTGGATGAAGCTGCAGCTCTTTTCACGAACTCTGTCTTTTGTATCACTGTGGACCCACCGTAATTAGCAGTATGCTCTGAAAAGAAAAAGGTCACACGTATATCTTTAACAGAGATTTAACTGTGAATGATCAAATACCAGTAGCAGTCAACAAACAAGGTGTGACAATTTTAAATAATCTTTGCAAGTATTCCATCCAAACGTGCTAGCCCATATGCTCATGAAAACTTGTGCAATCACATCCATTGTCGCAGGAGAAGGCATGCATACAATATGTCTTCCTTCACTTATTAGGGAAGTGATTGTAAGATACTCCATCTTGTCCTGCAGTAGAAACAAATGAGCTGAATCATCAGAAGCCGCCCCAGAATACCCTGACAGGCCTCCAAGCAGTGTGTTGCCTTTATTTTAAAATCACCACGCCCAGTCCCTTTCTCCTACTTTGAACTTATAAAACAAGTTGAAACAAAAAGAACACATCTCTTTCCAATTATCTGATTTATGCCAACCGTATTACACAATTGTTCTGCAGGATAATGGTGTGGTCATTTGAGGATTACTGCCAAGCTGGGGGGTTTTTTTTGGGGGGGGGGTTGCCAAGGAGAATTCAGAAATGAAAAACTTAATACAGCTTAGTCTGGTCTTCAAGGAGTCCATCAGCTATTGCCTTACAGGGAATTGCAAGGGAAGGATTCACCTTCAAAAGCGTATAGAAGTCAACAGTACTCTTGGCTAAATTCTGGTGTTTTCTCATCTTTCTTTCAGCCACGAGTGTCCCATCCCCATCTGGATCTGTCCCTGGAGCATCGGCCTCCTTCCGCCCTCTCTTCAACGATTTTGGCCCTCCATCAATGGGCTACGTGCAGGTGGGTTTCAGGAAGGTTCTTTCCATCTTGTGGGAATCATGGCAGAGAGGGGCCCTTCATTTTTTTCTCTTGGCCGTTGTTTTATAGGCTATGAAGCCACCAGGTGCCCAAGGCTCCCAGAGCACGTACACGGACTTGCTTTCTGTCATCGAGGAGATGGGCAAGGAGATCCGACCCACCTATGCAGGCAGCAAGAGTGCTATGGAGCGGCTGAAACGAGGTAGGGACTGTCCTGAGAGAAGAACGCTGTCTGGTCACGGGATATGGAAACAAAAAATTATTTTTGACTGGAACGAATAGAATATCAGAATGCCTACATAGAACTGCGTAGAAATGTGAATTGCTTTCCAAAAGATTCCAGAGTTTATCGAATTGAGCACTGCACACTTATTTATTTATTTATTTACTTTATTTGTATACCGCTGTTCTCAGCCCTTAGGCGACTCACAGCGGTTTACAACAAGAACAGCAAGAATTCAATGCTACCATCACACGGTATAAAAAACAGTTAACATCATAACATTATAGAAAAGTATACAATTAACAACAATATACAATTAACACCAATAGCCATTCACTAGCGTCTCATCACTAAAAACATGATCCAGATCCGTTATCCATTGTTCCATTCCCATGTTCATTACATTCATTTTACTGACTATTCGAACGCCTGCTCAAACAACCAGGTTTTCACTTTTTTGCGGAATACCATTAGTGATGGAGCTAGTCTAATGTCCGTGGGAAGGGCGTTCCACAGCCGCGGGGCCACCACCGAGAAGGCCCTATCTCTCGTCCCCACCAGCCGTGCCTGTGAGGCAGGCGGGATCGAGAGCAGGGCCTCCCCGGAAGATCTCAAAGTCCTGGTGGGTTCATGGGCAGAGATGCGGTCAGATAGGTAACTTGGGCCAGAACCGTTTAGGGCAGGCATCCTCAAACTGCGGCCCTCCAGCTGTTTCGGCCTCCAACTCCCAGAAGCCCTAGCCAGCTTGTTCAATGCTCTGGAATTCTGGGAGTTGGAGGTCAAAACAGCTGGAGGGCCACAGTTTGAGGATGCCTGGTTTAGGGCTTTAAAGGCCAACGCCAGCACTTTGAATTGAGCCCGGTAGCAAATCGGTAGCCAGTGGAGTTGGCGCAGCAGGGGGGTTGTATGCTCCCTGTGCTCCGCTCCTGTTAATTTTTTGTAGATTACCATATATACTCAAGTATATACAGCTTAATTTTAATATGTAATGTTTTTAAATTATTAATATGTTTTTAATTTTAATCTAATTTAATTGTAATTTTTTGGAATTGTATGTGTTTTGAGGTATTTAATAATTGCCTCTATATAAGACACCTTGAGTCCCCTTTGGAGTAGAGAAAGGTGAGGTATAAATACAGTAAATAAATAAGCTTAGTTTTTCGACCCCTATTTTTAGGCTGAAAAAGCCCAATTCAGCTTGTGCTCAAGTCAAAGTTATATATCATTTTACATGTTATTTTTATTACATTGATTATTTTACTCTATTTATTATTATTACACATATTATTGCACTCTATTATTACATTTACATTATTTTGCTCTATTATTGTTTTTATTACACTTATTATTTACTCTTATTATTGGAAGGATACGTAAGCACATTTACATTGTAGAAAGTTAGAATAATGGTTTTATCAGAGTTGGACAGTCCTATCTTAAATTACAGTTTTATGTAAACATTTAAAAACATTTCGCCTACTGATGCCTCAATTAATATAATTTTATTGGTATCTATTTTTATTTTGAAATTTACCAGTAGCTGCTGCATTTCCCACCCTTGTCTTATATTTAAGTCATTCCGTTTTCCCAGTTTTTTGTGGTAAAATTAGGTGCCTCAGGTCAGTTGATACTTAACTATATATGGTATACAGTTCATTGCTGTTCATAGTTAACCTATTTATACAACTGGTTCAGCAATACCATATCATTAACCCTCCTCACCAATTCCTTTAGCTTTCATTTCTCCTTTTCTTTTAGTAAAACATTGGTTTATAGCTCTATCCTTTTCAAGGAAAAAATAATAAGTGTATCTCTGATGCTAATGCTAGGACCTGGCCAACTCTGCAGTTTATTGTGCAGATAGCTGCAACACATTGAAACAGGTAGAACCTGCCGGATTAGAGTCTCTCTATCCGGTGAGTATACCTCTTGCTTAGCAGTAAAATGTTAGCCTGACAGCAAGTTGTCACCTTGTTCTTCAGTTTTATTCAGCTCTCTGGCATGCAGCCAGCAAGTTTGTCTTTGTCTTGTACTACTGACTTAAATACCCTTACATCTTTAATTTGACCCATAAAAGGCCACTGCGTGCAACAGTTTTCCCCTGTGTAAATAGCACCTCACTTGTGATGGCAAACAGAAGTGTGAAAGAGGATGCAGTTGTAAACCTGAAGAAATGGGAATTGCTGGATTGGTGCTTTTACCTCCGATTGTTCAGTGTCTCTGTTTTTCCTTCACAGGGATCATACATGCTCGGGCCCTGGTAAGGGAGTGTCTAGCAGAGACAGAGCGTAATGCCCGTACGTAACAGTTGCTTTCTCTTGGCACTGCCCTGGGAGAGGAGGACCTTGGCTCTTTCCTGCCGATCCACATTTGGTTCTCCCCTGCCCTTTCAAATCTTTCCAACCAATCAGTCTCTCACTCCTAGGATGGTGATCACCTTCAAAGACCTTTATGACAATTGGCACCTGAAGAAGCTTCTATTGCATCACAGAACTTCCCACCGATTAGCACTCTGGGAATGCACCTTTCAATCAACCAGTGAGAATAAGGGCTGGTGGCAAGTCTTGTGTCTTTATAAAAAAAATTCGGGGTTTTTTTTAAATAAAAGGAAGGCTTTGGAATTTGGATTATTTCTTCACTGTGTTTTTCTATTTTTCCTCCTGCGTGATGAAGGATTTAGTTTCTTCTTCACTATGATGTTATTGAGTGTCTGCCTTGCAAGATGCGCTGCTTGGGTAAAGCAGCACGTGGTGCCCTCCCTGCCACTTGAAATGGAAGCTTTAGTCAGCAGTTATTGAATCTGCACTGGAAAACATGTGTAATAAAATATTTCTACTTCTCAATAATTTGCCTGTGCTGTTACTACTGTGTCAGGAGTTGGCAGGTGGCCTTAAAGACTTAATCCCTAATGCTGTTCTGGTAACTACCCCAAATGGCCTCCTCCCCTCCTATTTTTGTTGCCAGTTGAAGGCTTCGTTGTAAAGAGATTATTCTACTTGCGGTTGCTTTTAGATATAGTCTGCCAAGCAAGGTTATCTTGAAGCTTTGTAACAGGCCTGGGCACATGAGGTTGGATTAACCTTGTACACAGTGTAGAAGAGATGTTCTCAAAAACATAAAACTTGTTTAGGCTGCAATTTTGTACCTTCTTACCTGGGAGTAAGCTCCGCTGGATTAAATTTCTGAATAAATGTCTTCTGTTAATGTCTCAATAGAAAGATATCTTTTTCATTCATTTGTTAATCAAGCATTGTTAGTTTTATGCCTATGAAAACACTTATGGGATGGGATGTTTGGCATCTAGACAGTCCTTTGTTTGCCTTCTAAAAGGAAGCATGGTGGTCAGTGTGGAGGAAGGATATTTTCTGCAAGAGAGTTGAGTAGGAGGTAGATGCTTGACATTCTCTTGCTGTCTGCTTTCTATTGGAAATGCAACCCTCAAGCAGTGGAAGAAAAGGAGACCTGGGATGAAAGACTGCTGGGGGGGGGGGGGGCATATGAACAAGAAGACATTAAGAACTCCCTGCCGGCTTGTTGAGCTTATTTGACTTATTCCTTTGTACTTGGGGGTGTGAGAGAGAACATGGAGTTGAGAAATCTGTTTTCTGCAGTAACAGAATTCAGCCCATAAACTACAAATCGACAATGCCAAAAGTGTATGCGTATGTGAGCCTTCATGTCACTTGTTGACTTACGGCAGCCTCAAGAATTTCATGGAGTTTTCTTAGGCAAGGAATGCTCAGAGGTGTTTTGCCAGTTTCTTCCTCTGAAATATAGCCTACAACACCTAGTATTCTCACTAAAAATAGAAGTAATTGAAATAAATAAATAAAGAAATAAAAACCACGTTTAGCTTGTGCCGACCTGGTGCCTCCAGAAGGTGACATGGAAATGCTTGGGAATGCCTTCTCTATGCCATATTGGAATGAAGGTGGGAGCTACAGAGTCAGATCACACCTGGAATACTGTGTCCAGTTGTGAGCACTGCAATTTGAGGGAGATGTTGACAAGTTCAAGTGTGTTCAGAGAAGAGCGACTAAAATGATCAAGGGTCTGGAGAATAAGCCCTATGAGGAGCGGCTGAAATAGCTGAGCATGTTTAGTCTGAAGAAGAGAAGGCTAAGAGGAGATGTGATGAGGGCCATGGATAAATATGAGGGGAAGTGATATGAGGGCTACGGTTAAGTCTCTTCAACTCTGTAATTCTATATACAACTTCCCATCTATTTAGGCTAAAACAATTCCCTTTGGGGATTTCTGACCATGTGGGGAAAATAAGAAACATGCATAGTTGGTTCAAAATGCTTGATCAGTCTCTTAAAATCTTTGATTAAAGTTAATAATCTTACCAATGACAGCCAGCCCAAAATATGAAAGTAGGCCCTTTAACCACTTTGCAGGTAATCGATATATCAATTAGGCTTACTCCTAGATCTGATTGTGCAGGACCAGGGCCTAAGATTTTACATAAGTAGAAAGGTTTTGGTTTTTGCCGTTGACACATTCCTCTGATCATGCAGAAATAAAAGAGTTATTAAAACTTTAGAGTCATGCTCTGAAAAATTCATAAATGATTGCTCCTTGCTGCCTTTCCTGAAAAAGATGCATATTTGGGAAGCCTGGGCAAATTATTTTATAACCTTTAAAGCCTTTTAAAGAGAACTCCAACATGCTTAATATGGCTACAGACAATGAATTTTTGCATGACCAAAGTATGCCCAAACAATGTTGTCATAACTCATAGGTGTTTATTTTAATTTAATTTGTATCCTACCTTTCTAGCAAAATCTGGCTACAGGATAGCCTGCATCATATCAATATCTAACACAAAGCAAATTATATACTAATTAACATGTAGTAAAACCATTTAGAGAAAAATACATAAAAATTCCAGCGTGTCCATTCAGTCCAAGTTCGTTATTAAGGGTAAATGCCTGCCCCTGGATAAAATGCCTGCCACAGAAGGACAACAAGGAGTGGTCTAGCCTAATCCCTTCAAGAAGGGCATTCTGTAGTCTAGGATTAGCCAGTAAGAAGGCCCTTCACAGCCTCTGACATTGACAGTTAAAATATTTATTTCTTGGGTTTATAGCCCATCTTCCCTCTACCAAGAATGCAGCACAATATTCTTTGTATACACAACAAACTTGGGATTGGGGTATCTGTGCGACTGCATGGTTGAAGCGTATATGTACATCTGATTTGATAATCATGCTAATTTAGCAGAAAAGGCATTGGGCATATTCTTGACTCATTAGAAAAAATTATAATGCTAAGCAAAGTGAAAGGTAGTAGGAAAGCAGAAAGACTGCCTCCAAGAATTAAGGAAAACATGGCCATCACTGTAAGACCTGAAGCAAGACTGCTAATGTGTTTCTAGACATCTCTCATGCATAAGCTGTCTGGAAGACAAATAACAAAGAAGATGCAGCTGCGATAAACTGCTTTTCATGAATAAGGTAGAAATGATATGCCCAAAAGTTGTAGAGTCATCTAAATTCATCATATCCACCTTCAAATCTACATGTCACTTTTGAGTCTGAAATGTGATTTCATTTGTAGAATTTCACATCTGATGTAGTAAAGTAGCACTTCTTGAACCATATTAAATCTTCCTTAGTTTAAGTACAACCATTCTTCAATTAGCTTATCTGTCTAGATGAGGACAGAGATGGATATTCAGGCAAGGGGATGATTTGTTTTATGCAAATAGCGATTTCAGAGTGTAGGAGGGAAAAATCCTCATGGATTTTGCATTTTGGACTTTAGAAAAATGAGGTTATGTCTTCAATGGTGGCGCAGTGGGTTAAACCACTGAGCTGCTGAACTTGCTGACCGAAAGGTTGGCAGTTCGAATCCAGGGAGTGGGGTGAGCTCCCGCTGTTAAGCCCAGCTTCTGCCAACCTAGCAATTTGAAAACATGCAAATGTGAGTAGATCAATACATACCGCTTCGGCGGGAAGGTAACTGTGCTCCATGCGGTCAAGCTAGCCACATGACCTTGTAGTTGTCTACGGACAACACCTGCTCTTCGGTTTAAAAGTGGAGATGAGCATCAATCACCAGAGTTGGACCCGACTAGACTTAATGTCATGGGAAACCTTTACCTTTATCTGAGCTCTTCTGAATTCAGTTGGTTTTCTATCTTAGTAAAAGTACCAAGGAGCAGCCTTATGCTACTTTTGGTGTTAAAAAATGATGCTGATCCAATTAGGTTTCTTTTTTCAAATAGGCACTTCTTTTTATACCTATACATCTGATTTGCAAATTGTGTTCAAAATTATTAATGGAAAAGAAATTATTTGTTAAAATATGTCTTGAACAAATATGTAGAAGAAACATTAAGATAAAATTAGTAACAAGCGAGTAGACTTTGGTAATAGAATAACATGAGCGGCCATCTTGTGCCACGAAAGACAAAATTGCCAAACTGATGTGTATCAACATGGCCATGGGGAAAGTGCAAAGCATCCCAGACTGCATGATGGTGAGTTCAGAATGCCGTACTTTCAGGAAAACACACTGTTCTTGCTGTTTGTCTTTTAAGTTATGACCCTAAGGCAAAGCTATCACAGGGTTTTCTTGTCCTGATTTGTTCAGAACAGGTTTGCCCTTGCCTTGCCCTGAGGCTGATTTGCCCAAGGTCACACAATGCATTTCATGGTCTCAGTCATAACCCAGTGCTCCAACTACAGCCAGCCCTCCACAATGGCTGGTATTAGAGGCGTAGCATCCTTATGAATGTGGAAAAAACATGAGTAAAATTCCACTTATTTATTTTTATGAGCAGGCACCCACCTCTAGGAATTTCTAGGCCCTACTACATGACTATGATCAACTTCAGCTGGAAGACTTAGGGATTCATAGAATCATAGAGTTGGGAAAGACCTCATGGGCCATCCAGTCCAACCCCCTGCCAAGAAGCAGGAAAATCTCATTAAAAGCACCCCCGACAAATGGCCATCCAGCCTCTGCTTAAAATCCTCCAAAGAAGGAGCCTCCACCACACTCCGGGACAAAGAGTTCCACTGCTGAACAGCTCTCACAGTCAGGAAGTTCTTCCTAATGTTCAGGTGGAATCTCCTTTCTTGTAGTTTGAAGCCATTGCTCCGCATCCTAGTTTCCAGGGCAGCAGAAAATAAGCCTGCTCCCTCCTCCCTATGACTTCCCCTCACATATTTATATATGGCCATCGTGTCTCCCCTCAGCCTTATCTTCTTCAGGCTAAACATGCCCAGCTCTTTAAGCCACACCTCATAGGGCTTGTTCTCCAGACCCTTGATCATTTTAGTCACCTTCCTCTGGACACATTCCAGCTTAGAGTCAACATCTCCCTTTTATTGTGGTGCCCAGAATTGGACACAGTGTGATTCCAGATGTGGTCTGACTAGGGCGGAATAGAGGGGTAGCATTACTTCTCTGGACCTAGACATTATATTCCTATGTATGCAGGCCAAAATCCCATTGGCTTTTTTAGCTGCCACATGACATTGTTAGCTCCTGTTTAACTTCTTGTCCACGAGGACTCCCAAGATCTTTTTTCACACATACTGCTGTCGAGCCAGCATTCTGTATCTTTGAATGAGAACACCTAAAGCGGTGTTCCCTTTAAGAATCCCTAGGTTGTCCAGCATGATTCTGTGGTAACAAGCATGGCTGGTGGAAATGAGAGAAAGGGCCTTCTCGGTGGTGGCTCCCCACCTCTGGAACACCCTTCCTAGAGAAATAAGACAGGCCCCATCCCTCCCCTCCTTTCGTAAGAGCTTGAAGACCTGGTGGTTTAAACAAACCTTTGAGAACGACTACTTCTAGCTCAGCCCCAGATACTGTTGAATATGGCCATATCTTTTTCCACCAATTACCCAGGTTAATTCCCAGGGCCTTCTCAGTGGTGGCCCCCCATCTGTGGAACTCACTCCCGGGGGAAATCAGGGCTTCAACTTCCCTCCTTGCCTTCAGGAGGAAGGTAAAGACCTGGCTCTGGGACCAGGCCTTTGGGCACCCTGACAATTAGACATGGAACCAGAATGATAGGACCAACAATGTGTGGAAAGTAGAACCTAACTATGAGTCGGTTAAACACTGACCAGCAATGAGGTTTGTATTGTTTGTATTGTTTTTACAGGTTTAGGGCTATTCCTGCCGATAATATTGATTGTTTACGTTAATTGTTATCAGTGTTATAATTACTGTTGTTACTGATGTTATGTTTTTGATATTATGTTTTTGTAATACAGGCATCGAATTGTGCCTTGTGTGTGTAAGCCGCCCTGAGTCCCCCCGGGTGAGAAGGGCGGGGTATAAGCAACCGCAATAAATAAATAAATAAAATTAATTCCCCCTCTTAGGCCCTGGAAATGAACAGCCCATAGACTCTACCTAATTTCCCAGGCCCTCTACAAATTGCCTTGAACAGGCAGGATTATTTTAAATATATATGTGCTATTGTGATTTTTTATGCTTATATTGTCTTGTTAATTTTACGTTTATGTTGTTTACTTTGCATGTATTGATGATGTTACTTGGAAACCACTCTGAGTCCCCTCAGGGAGATAGAGCGGTATATAAATAAAGTTTTGTGGTCAACGTACAACACAAAATGACCATAGAATCATACTAGAGGAGCAAAAGATTCCTAGAGAAAACACTTTAATCAAATCTGTAACACCGACCGAAACACCTTTGGTGCCTCAAATGGTAGCCCCGTTTCTGAGTATATTTGACCTGCTAATTCAAACAATGGCACCAGTTTTGCCTATTGGGTTCTAGTGTTTTGAGATATGGAAGATATGTCATCTACTAGTTGCTGGTCCGTAAGAAATCATGATAACCATAGGAAACTAGAGCTGGTGGTCTACCCAAGGCCTAGGCAAACTTGGGTCTTCCCTCCAGGTGTTTTGGACTCCAACTCCCACCATTCCTAACAGCCTCAGGCCCTTTCCTTTCCCCCCTCAGCCGCTTAAGCGCTTAAGCAGCCAAGGGGGGAAAGGAAGGGGCCTGAGGCTGTTAGGAATGGTGGGAGTTGGAGTCCAAAACACTGGAGGGAAGACCCAAGTTTGCCCAGGCCTGATATAGAACTACAACTCCCCAGATTTCACAGTGTATATGCCCTCTTTGTTTCATTCCAGAAGAGACATTTAGTGTCATTGGTGGGAGGAAAATGTTGCCATTCTAAGTAGAGCAATTAAAGAGGTCATTAATGGCTGGCAAGCAACCAGGGATAATCCGCCTGGCAATCAATGTTTTGGTTTATTTACAGCCCTGTAGCTAGTGCTCAAGTATTCCTATTTTTGTTGCTATTTATAAGCGTATTTATTGGGGAGGGGGCGAGGGAGGGAGGGAGGGAGCTGGGGAGCGCTTACGCACGCATTTGTTCTCGAGGTTTCCTTCGCCCCGCAGCTGCTCCCATTGAGGCGCTTGATGTCACCAGCCCCTGACGTCACAGGCGTTTCCCGGGTAATGAGCTGTGATGTCACAGGAGGAGGGGAGCGCGCGCTCGCTCACCCGCCCGCCCGCTCTGCTTTGCTATCTGCGGGTTGCCGCAGTTCCTATGGAAACCTCATCCCGGTTTGCAAAAGAGAGAGCCGGGCTGCAGCGTTATAGCATCTGGAGCAGCCTCGAATCCAAACCGGGACAAAGGAGGCAGGGAGAGAAGGAGGAGAACTCCCCCGGCGCGATGGTTGCGCGGTGCTTCCACCAAAGGTCTCGAAAATTGCTCAATGTCTCCCTTTTTGGGGGAGGAATCTGAATAATAATAAACTTCACAACCTCTGAGGATGCTTGCCATAGATGCAGTCGAAACGTCAGGAGAAAATGCTTCTAGAACATGGCCATATAGCCCGAAAAACCTACAACAACCCACTAATTGCCTGCACACCTCGCCAAGGCCCCATTTACACTGACATTTAGTGCAGTTTCAGACCGGTATTGGAAGAAAGTAGCATGGCTGTGCAGATGATGACTACATAGGGAGGAACTCATGGAACCAGTTTGGAGTGACACCTCTCCAAAGCCCCATCTACATTGACCATTTAGTGCAGTTTCAGACTGGTATTGGAAGAAAGTGGCTTCGCTGTGCGGATGATTGACTACATAGGGAGGAACTCATGGAACCAGTTTGGAGTGATTGATTGCAAAAACCACTGAGACAGCATTAATTAAGGGCTTGCTTTTGTAGGGATCTGTTGCTTGACTTGGATGCTAAATCATCACACTAGAGAATGAATCCACTTTAAATCCAGTTGCTGCCTCCTGAAGATTTTTGGGGTTTGTAGTTTAGGGAGGAACCTTAAACAACCTCCCTAAACTACAAACCCCAGAATTCTGCAGGAGGCAGAATTTAATGTGGGTTCATTCTCTAGTGTGATCTAGGGCTCTTCCACACAGCCATATAACCCAGAATACCAAGGCAGAAAATCCCACAATATCTGCTTTATAGTGGGTTATCTGAGTCCACACTGACTGACATATATTCCAGTTCAAAGCAGAAAATGTGGGATTTTATTCAGCTGTGTAGAAGGGGCTGAAGTGAATGGCCATCGTTGGGCCCTTCCAGACAGGCCCTATATCCCAGGATCTGATCCTAGATTTTCTGCTTAAAACTGGATTGTATGAGTTCACATTGCCTGATAATCTGGGATAAACAGAAAACCTGGGATCAGATCCTGGGGGCCCTTCCACACAGACCTCTATCCCAGAATATCAAGGTAGAAGATCCCACAGTATGTGCTTTGAATTGGGTTATTTTAGTCCACACTCAGATAATGTGGAATTTCCTGCCTTGATATTCTCGGATATAAGGCTGTGTGGAAAGGCCCTGGGATGTAGGGCCTGTCTGGAAGGACACGTAGATGGGGCTTCCATCCCCAAAACACCCGGTTACAAGGTTGCATCTGGGGGCCCTTCTTTTGTTGTTCTTTTGTTCAGTTGTTTGTGACTCTTTGTGAGCTCATCGACCAGCCCATGCCAGAGCTCCCTGTCGGCGGTCACCACCCCCAGCTCCTTCAAGGTCAATCCAGTCACTTCAAGGATGCCATCCATCCATCTTGCTCTTGGTCAGCCCTTCTTCCTTTTTCCTTCCATTTTCCCCAGCATCATTGTCTTCTCTAAGCTTTCCTTTCTTCTCATGATGTAGCCAAAGTACTACACAGCCCTATATCTGAGAATATCAAGGCAGGAAATCCCACATTATGGACTCAGATAACCCAGTTCAGAGCAGATATTGTGGGATTTTCTGTCCTGATATTCTGGGATATAGAGCTGTGTGGAAGGGCCCATAGTTGGGGCCTCCATCCCCAAAACACCCGGTTGCAAGGTTGCATCTGGGGACCCTTCCACACAGCCCTATATCCCAGAATATCAGGGCAGAAAATCCCACATTATGTGAGCGTGGATTCAGATAACCCAGTTTAGAGCAGATATTGTGGGATTTTCTGTCTTGATATTCTGGGATATAGGGCTGTATGGAAGGGCCCTGAGTCCACACTCAGATGTTGTGGGATTAAATGCCTTGATATTCTGGGATATAGGGCTGTGTGGAAGGGCCCTACATGATGGAATGAATGCAGCCTGGCTCCACTTGAACTGCTATGGCTCCATGCTCAGGAATCCTGGGAGTTGCAGTCTGGAGGGGGCATCAGCAGCAATTTTTGGCAGAGAAGTCGAAAGACCTCGGGCCCTTCCAGGCGGCCCAATATCCCTGAATATCAAAGCAGACAATTCCACAATATCTGCTTTGAACTGGGTTATCTGAGTTCACACTCAGATAATGTGGGGTTTTCTGCCTTGATATTCTGGGATATAGGGCTGTGTGGAAGGGCACCTTGTCAAACTTCAACTACCAGGATCCCTTCGCTTTGAGTCAATGCAATCATTCCACAATGTAGATCCACCCTGGGTCAGGCCTGGGCAAACTTGGCCCCTTCAGGTATTTTGGACTTCAACTCCCACCAATCCCAAGGGCCTGAAGCTGTTGGGAATGGTGGGAGCTGAAGTCCAAAACACCTGGAAGGCCCAAGTTTGCCCAGCCCTGCTTAAGACCTTGCAAAACTACAACTCCCAGGATTCCACACCCGTAAGCAATGTCAAACCGTCTTCCTCATGTATGCCACAGGGTAGAAAGGAGATGCGCCCAGAGATTCCTCCTTTGCCTTCCCCCCTCCCTTTCCTGAACCCCGTTTCCTCCTCCCTCCCCCCTCCTCCTCCTCCTCCTCCTCTTCCCTCCTCCTCTTGCAAGGAAGGCGAGACTGCGGCTGAGCGAGCGCGCGCGCTTCGGGGCTGCGGTGACGCGGAGGCAGCGGCCCTCCTCCTCCTCCTCCTCCTCCCCCCTCCCTCTCTGCATCCCCCTCCCTCCCTCCCTCTCTCCTCCCTGCCTCCCTCCCTTCCTGGGCCACCACCGTCCAGACCATGATCTTCTTGCCGCCTTCGGAGCGCGTCCCCGGCGGCGCCCCTCCAGCAGCCTACGGAGGAGGAAGAGGAGGAGGAGGAGGAGGCAGCAGCGGCAAGGCAGGCGCCTCGGGAGGGAGGACCTAGGCGCAGCCAGCCAGCTAGCGTCCCAAGCCCGCTGCCTGCCTGCTTTCCTTCCTTCCTTCCTCCGGAGCATTTCCCACCGCCGAGCCACAGGTCTGGACGCAGATGGGGGAAAGGGGGGGCCAGGGAGGAGGAGGAGGAAGAGGAGGAAGGCGGGAAGTGGTGGGCGTGCAAGAGAGGGGGGGGGGATTCACATGGCAATGGGGGCTTGGGAGGTCTGTGTCGCTTGATAGCCGTGCCTCAGTATCTGAAAGGATGCATCAGGGGCAAGCTTGTTTACTGCTRCTCTGGATTGCCATGCCTTCCAATGCCAGGAAAAGGGATTCCACCGAAAACATCAGGAAGAGCTCCCCTATATATTAAACCTCCTATTAGGTTTATAAGCAGAGGCTGGGTGGCCATCTGTCGGGAGTGCTTTGATTGTCTATTTCTGAATGACAGAAAGGGTTGGGCTGCATGGCCCCTTGGGGTCTCCTCTGACTCCAGGATACTATGTATGATGGTCACCTGTCAAGGGTGCTTTGATTCTGGAAATTCATAAGCAGAGGCTGGGTGGCTATCTGTCAGGAGTGCTTTGATTGTGTATTTCTGCAAGGCAGAGTAGGGTTGGATTGCATGGTCCCTTGGGGTCTCTTCTGACTCGAGGTATCATGCTCATCTCTCAGGGGTGCTTTGATTCTGGAAATTCATAAGCAGAGGCTGGATGGCCGTCTGTCAGGAGTGCTTTGATTGTGTATTTCTGCAAGGCAGAGTAGAGTTGGATTGCATGGTCCCTTGGGGTCTCTTCTGACTCCAGGTATCATGGTCACCTATCAGGGGTGCTTTGATTCTTATGAGCAGAGGCTGGGTGACCATCTGTTGAGAATGCTTTGATTGTGTACTTCTGCATGGCAGAGTAGGGTTTGGCTGCATGGCCCCTTGGGGTCTCTTCTGACTCCAGGATTCTATGTATGATGGTCACCTGTCCAGGAATGCTTTTATTCTGGAAATTCATAAGCAGTGGCTGGATGGCCATCTGTTGGGAGTGCTTTGATTGTGTACTCCTGCATGGCAGAGTAGGGTTGGGCTGGTTGGTCCTTGGGGTCTCTTCCAACTCTAGGATTCTATGTATAATGTTAACCTGTCAAGGAATGCTTTGATTCTGGAGGTTTTCAAGCGGATCCTGGATGGCTATCTGTTGGGAGTGCTACATGACAGAAGGGAGTTGGGTTGGATGGTCCTCAGGGTCTTTTCCAGCAGTAGAATGCTATGTTATGAGCACAGCACATGGAAGATTTCTGAATGACATGTAGATTTCTGGTTGTGTTTTCCTGCAAGGGTTTTGGACTGGATCATGGTCCTTGTGGTTTGAATGCGATTTTCCTGCTTCTTGGCAGGGGGTTGGACTGGATGGCCCACGAGGTCTCTTCCAACTCTATGATTCTATAATTCTTCCAATTTTGTGATTCTCTGATTCTAGGTCAAGGAAGGCAATGCAGTGGGGAAGAGGTGGGCGGGGGCCCAAGGAAGTGTAACACACCTACAGACATGCACACCAATGCCTTTTGTGGTTTTTGTGTTCTTGCTGTAGAAATTCCTGAGAAATAGCTCTGGGTGGCAGTGAGCTATTGTGCGTCTACACTGTAAAATGAAGACAGTTTGGTACCACTTGACCTGCCATGGCTCAACCCTTATAGAAACCTGTAAGTTTGGTAAGGCACTGGCTTTCTTTGGGTTTTGTAAAGCTGCAACTCCCATGATTCCATAGCATTGAGCCATGGCAGCTAAAATAGTGTCGAGCTGCATTCATTCTACAGTGTAGATGCACTCAAGGATAAATAGGTAAGAAATTTATTATTGTTGTTATTGTTGTTAATATTATTATTATTGTGTTGTCGAAGGCTTTCATGGCCGGAATCACTGGGTTGCTGTGAGTTTTCCGGGTTGTATGACCATGTTCCAGAAGCATCATCATCATTGTTGTTGTTGTTATTTTACTGACAGAGAAACACAGTATGTCACAGCAAATGAGATATATATGCTTGATTTCGTATCACACAATCGCAAGTCAAACACTTCCTAAGCATCTAGGACTGTGTGATGTATTTTAGAATGTATTGTCGAAGGCTTTCACGGCTGGAATCACTGGGTTGTTGTATCCATGGCAAGCATCTGAGGATGCCTGCCATAGATGCAGGTGAAACGTCAGAAGAGAATGCCTCTAGAACATGGCCATATAGCCCCCAAAAAAACCAACCCTACAATAACCCAGTATTTTCGAATGATGCACGCAGATCCAAGTAAGGTGGCCTTTTGCAGTTGACATCCTGATTTTGTCAATAATAATAATAATAATAATAATAATAATAATAATAATAATGTGGGCTAGGACACCTCTCCTTCCTCTCACTGTTTGAATCCAGAGTGGGATCTCTTGGTGGTCTCCCAAACTCATCTCCTTTCTCGAATGCCTTGGTTCTCCATTTCCATGAAGCAGGGAGTTTCTCACCTAAAGAAAAACATGTGGCTGCCAGTACATTCAGAGGATGACTGCTTTTTCTTTCTCTTTCTTTCTCTTGCTGTGATTTCCTTCCTCATACTTTGGGGCAGGCTGACATTAGACAGGGTTTGTCACCTGGAAGCCTGGCCTTAGCTGAACCTCACAGGCCGTGTTGTGTTGTTATACTCACCATTAAAAACACAGGAGCCCAGCCAAGGGTGAGGAGGGGCCATTATTTTGGATGTACTAGCTTGCTGGTTCTTCTAGCGATGCATTTTCTACCCACTGTGCAAGAATTTTTGAGGACTGATAGAATATAGAGATTTTTAGAAGGGGCTTGGGCCAGGTTACCACGTTTCTTCCCCCTGCCCTCTTGGCTGGGTTTCACTGTTTTAAAGGCGGGTATAACAGCTATACATCCATTGATCTCCCAGACATGGAGATCCAGGATGCATCTGCATTGTAGAATTAAAGCAATCTGACATCACTTAATAGCCATGGTTCAGGGCTATCGAATCCTGCTTGTACTTTGCTGAGGCACCAGCACTCTTGGGCTGCATTGATTCCCTCGGGGAGATAGGTGCAGGATATAAATGAAGTTTTATTATTGTATTATTATTATTCTAGAGCAGTGGTTCTCAACCTGTGGGTCCCCAGGTGTTTTGGCCTACAACTCCCAGAAATCCCAGCCAGTTTACCAGCTGTTAGGATTTCTGGGAGCTGAAGGCCAGGGTAAACCTCTTTGAGCCCAAGGTGTGATGAATGCACTAGCAGGTCTAGGCTCAGTGTTATTTATCAAAATCCATACGCTTCATGGGCCCTAACTTTGCCTTTTTATCATTTTCAAAGTAAAACAAACGAGTCCATAATAAATCCACAGATATATAAACCCAATTTTCCTAGTTTCCAACAAACCTCACAACCTCTGAGGATGCCTGCCATAGATGCAGGCAAAATGTCAGGAGGGAATGCTTCTAGAACACGGCGATATAACCCGAAAAATGTGCAACAACCCAGTGATTCCGGCCATGAAAGCCTTCGACAATACATTAAAAATGGAATTTGGGGATAAGTACAACTACAAAACAAACAAAAGTACACAACATCTTGGTCAATGGGCCAAATTGTTGAAGACTGTACCCTTCAGACACGGTGCTCATGTGCAACTCACATGAGAATGCCATTTCTTCTTCGTAAGTGTGGTGAGATTTGCAACTGTAGCATGTGTTTCCTAAACAGACTTGGTTAGGACTGAATCTCAAATGTATAGTGTTCTGTTCTCTCTGCCTTCTTCCTTATTAAATGTTGACAGTTGTTTGATCTGGGTGAGTGAGAGCATGTTCCCAACAAGGAGAATCGCGTGGGTTTTTAAAATAGAAATTTGGGGAGTGAAGGCTGGAGGAAGAAGGCTTGCTCTAGATAACATGATGCATGTAAAATACGCTGCTGGCTGAGACATGGGAATGTTTGTACACGAGGCTATCGCTGCTGGACATGGCTTTATAAGGGAGTGAAATTCTGAAATAGTCTCCCTTGTGCATTCATGGGAGTAACTAGTTTTCATTCATATTTCAACATGAGTTGGTTTATTAAGAGTAATGTATACGATTACTTATCTTGTGACTCAGGCACGACTCTCTCCCTTCCTTTTTGCATTAATTTATGCTGGAGATGAAAATATTACGTGACAGTGTTTTTCCTGTGATGCTTCAGAGGAAAGGTTTTGTTCTTTTAACTTAGAATCTTCACCTGATTGACATGTTTTGAGCTTCAGAAGAGGTTTTCCTGAAAATATGGGTTGGATTTCCAATCTCAAGGGAGCAGAATGTCGCCTCCCCATGAACAGCTTGCCTCAAAGAACCACCTGGGGCCCTTCCACACAGCCCTATATTCCAGAATATCAAGGCAAGAAATCCCACATTTTCTATGTGGACTCGGATAACCCAGTTCAAAGCAGATATTGTGGGATTTCCTTCCTTGATATTCTGGGATATAGGACTGTGTGGAAGGGCCCTGGGTGTTTTCCCCCTTTAAACTGGTCCTTTTTTCTGCAGGCTTTTCTTGTTTATGGTACCTCTTGCTGACCAGCTCTGCTTCCCTGCATTACATTATGTTGGTTGTTTTAAATGAATGGTTCCTTCTATTGGTGCATTTTTCAGAAGAGCCATAGAGAGACAAAATTTGTGATAGACTGTAGATATTTTTAACAATGTAAATTGGGAGGCAAACACAACCTCGGTTGTCTTTTCATGGGGATAATATTGCTGGTTGACCTTGCAGAGTGTTTGCATGAATTACTGAGACTAACTATATATAAGGTGTTTTTTTAAACCTTTGAGATGTGCTAATAAAGCTTTAGTTTCATGGATGGAGAATGTGTAGCTGTCCAGATTCTGGGGATGGGAGATTTAATGGGATTTGCAGTGGCATATGCTCCCTTGCTATTGATCAAATTGGCTGGAAGTATTGGTATTGCCATGCAGTATCATCTGGAGGACCACATGTTTCCCACCCCCTTCTTTCAATTATATGAATGCTGTTATAGAGCACAGGAGTTGTGTCTCCAAGCAGAATACAGTAGAGTCTCGCTTATCCGATCTTTGCTCATCCAACGTTCTGTATTATCCAACACTGTCTGCCTTCTGCCTGGATCCACAGCTCTTTCAATATAGTGTGATGTTTTGATGCTAAATTCATAAATACAGTAATTACTGCATAACGTTACTGTGTATTGAATTGCCTTTTCTGTTGATTTGTTGTAAAACATGATGTTTTGGGGCCTTATTTGTAAAATCATAATATAATTTGACATTTAATAGGCTTTTCCTTAATCCCTCTTTATTATCCAACATTTTTGCTTATCCAACGTTCTGCCGGCCTGTTTATGTTGGATAAGTTAAATTCTACTGTATTATGCAAAAGACAGAGGGATACACACATGAGAATAACTCTCTACTGAGGATGCAAAGGTTTGCTTTGTCTTGAAAATTTTTGGCAGGGTTCCTGTGCTTTGAACAACCGTGCGATAGGTGGAGATTGAGTTGTTTGCCTTACCACTGTGCCACCATGCTGGGCAAAGCTGCCCGTCTTTCATCCCTGCCTGCTGTGCAGTTGCAAGAGATAGAGAAGGAGACAGAAAGATGCCAGCTCAGAAATATACAGAGAGCTTGATTGGAATGGCAAGTGCAAGGTGTACAAGGTGCCGATGGTTATATGGAATTACATGCTGATCTATGGAATTAATGTTCCTGTTCCCTAACATCTTGTTTAGGGTTAAAGCCGTCATTTAGCAAGGTATGCTCATGGCTTGGGCAACTACAGATGTGGGGAACTGCTGACCCTCTAAAATAGTGGTTTTCAACCTGTGGGTCCCCAGGTGTTTTGGCTACAACTCCCAGAAATCCCAGACAGTTTACCAGCTGTTAGGATTTCTGACAGTTGAAGGCCGAAACATCTGCGGACCCACAGGTTGAGAACCACTGCTCTAGAATCTAGATGTTTTTGACCTATGCTTCTCATGAGCCCTGTCCAGTACGGTCATAGGGAAAAAGATTCTGAAAATTGTGACCAAATATCTGGTGGGGCAGTGAGTTAAAGCACTGAGCTGCTGAATTTGTTGACCGAAAAGTCACAGGTTCAAGTTTGGGGAGCGGCGTGAGCTCCCACTGTCAGCCCCAGCTTCTGCCAACCTAGCAGTTCGAAACATGCAAATGTGAATAGATCAATAGGTACAGCTCTGATGGGAAGGTAATGGCATGCAATGCAGTCATGCTGGCCACATGACCTTGGTGGTGTCTAGGGACAACACCGGCTCGTTGGCTTAGAAATGGAGATGAGCACCAACCCCCAGAGTTGGACACAACTGGACTTATTATCAGGGGAAAATCTTTACCTATCTGGATTACAACTCCCTCATTCCTTTCCTGTTTACCATGTTGGCTGGGGCTGATGAGAGTTGTGGGCCACAGGTTCCCTGTCTATTTATTGTATGAGATGGTCAAAAGGCCCTCCTGCCCATCTGAGAGGAGCAAGCCTTGAAAAATAGCAACTTGAAATTTGCTGGACAAAGGAGAGAGGAAATGCAAGTGCAAGGTATGTGGCTGCTAGTATTGCGGGTTGTTGCCTGGGCGAGTGAGAGGGCCAAGGAGCGGAGCAAGTGTGTCAAAATGGTGGTGCTGCTCTCTTGCTCCTCGGCGCATTTCCCTTGCAATATGTTGAAACTCCCTAGCCTCACATTAGCCCACAGTTGCTATGGAAACATACCCGGTGGGTTGTGTTTTGAAAGAAGGTCAAATGTGGATTTCCTCCCAGCTTCTCTTCTTCTTGAAGAAGTAAAAGGCGTAGTTTCAGATGCCAGAGAGAGAGCCTTATTACCCAGATGTATTCAGAAACCTTTTTCAACTCATGTGGCTTTTCCTGAGAGCAAAGATGACCTCTGTAGCAAAAGCACACACCCCAAAATGCAGATCTGAGTGATACAGGGACTCTGTTGAAGGGGGCGAAAAACCAATTATCTCCTTAAACGCATGGTCCAAAATGTTCCCTGCAGAGGAAATAAGATCTTCCTGCTTGAAGTTATGGTAGGGACTGCTGCTCCAATTGCAGCTATCTTCAGATGCCTTGATGTCATATCAGTCCTTCTGTATGTATTCCTAAACATATGCTAACCACTCACATTGTCCTCTTTCCAAATGGTATCGAGGTACATTTGGAAGCACAGGTGATTATTACAGTAGTCCCCATAGCAACATTCCTCCTGGGAGAATCAGAAATGCAGGCAGCAAAGATCAGATCCTCCTTTCTGTGTATGTCTGTTTATATCTCTGTATACCCTGTACTACGCACACACTAATTACTAATATATATTACAATACCCTATTTTGTAGGTTCTGGTGGTGGTCATCAGAATAGTGAGTTGCCACAAAACAGTGTTACAAGGCTTTGACTGAAGAGATCTGAAACGGAATAATAAATGGAAAAGGGGGGCACAATTTATTCCTGCAGAGCATAAAACCACCAACTCAAGATTTTCCGGGAATTTCATAACACCTGGAAGAAATATTCCCTGCCAATTTGTTCTGGCAGTTTTCTTCTTTGGCAGGAGTATGTCCTTAGTAAAGCCAATGTTTCTTTGTTTCTCATTTGTGATCAAGCTACTGTGAAATGCCTGGCATTGCAATAGGATTGCTCAGAGCAATATATATTGTGTGCACTTGTCCTTATTGCTACCCCATGAATTCTGTAAGACTTTCTTAGGCAAGGGATACTCAGAGGTGGCTTCACCTTCTGTAATATAGCCCACAGCACTTGGGATTTGCTGGTGGTTAAACCCTTGTGCTGGCAGGACTGCTGACCAAAAGGTCGGCAGTGCAAATCCAGGGAGCAGGGTGAGCTCCCATCTGTTAGCTCTAACTTTTCCCACAGGGACACAAGAAAAGCCTCCCACAGGGACCCCCCCTTTACCGTAAGCCATTGTACTACCCCTCTCAAATGCACCCCCAATCCTTTTGATTAATTTTGTTTTGTATGTACAGATATATATATATGTGGGTGTGGGTGTCTATACACACTCCCTCCTTTTTTTCTTCATTTTCGTTCATTTTTCTTGTTTTTGTCCCCCTGTTCCCCTATTTCCCCATTAATTCCCTCGTTACTGTTTAAATCCTGAATTTTTTATGTACCCCTTCAAAGATGTATGCAATAAAAATGATTTTTTTTAAAAAAAGCCTCCCACAGAATGGTAAAACATCCAGACATCCCCTGGGCAACGTCCTTGCATATGGCCAATTCTCTCATATCAGAAGTGATTTGTAGTTTCTCAAGTTGCTCCTGACACACACACACACACACACACACACACACACACAAACAATCCAAGTATCAACTGTGGAAAAGATCACACAGAATCTGCTTCCTTAGGATATTTAGTTGTCTACCGAAGAATACCAGCTTCTGTGAGCAGTGTGCCTCAGAGGAAAAAAAGGAATGTGGGGCAGTGGTGGTGGTAGGCAGTTGACATATTGTCTCCACTAAAGAACATATGTCAGTGTTGCCCTTGCTGATTAAAATGTGCCAGCACATTGACCCTGTAAGCCCTTGCTCTGCTACAGCGATGTTTTCCCTTCTGGCATTCTTAAAGGTGCACTTACCATGTGCTTTGTCTCAACCCTCAGGGCCTGGTTGCCAAAATGCTGATCAAAGAGTACCATATCCTTCTGCCTATGAGCCTGACGGAGTACCAGGTGGCCCAGCTCTACATGATCCAGGTAACATCAGTATTGAATAGGATAGAACGTAGAGAGTTGCCTGAGGGGTATCCGTGTGGCAAAACAGAGCCCTCTCTTTGCCCAGGTTGCAGTGCCAGAAACCGAGCAGAGCTGAGGGGCACAAGGGGCGAGTGGGGCTCAGAGTGGGGTCTGTAGATTGGGGCCCAGGCTTAGCAGGGCTGGCTCTCCTGCTCCCCAGAAGAAAAGCCGTGAGGAGTCGAGTGGCGAGGGCAGTGGGGTTGAGATCCTGTCCAACCGGCCCTACAGCGATGGCCCAGGCGGGAACGGCCAGTATACACACAAGATCTACCACGTGGGCTCTCACATTCCCAGCTGGTTCCGGGCCCTCCTGCCCAAGGCGGCTCTGCAGGTGGAAGAAGAGTCCTGGAACGCCTATCCGTACACCCGCACCAGGTAAAGAGGGGGAGAGGGAAGGCCAAGGGCCGGAAGGAGGCGGCCGGCTACTCAGGTGAGTCCGTGGGGCGTGATGCTCCCGCGTTGGGTGGGGCAGGGCTTTCACTGTCATTGTCACGCCTTCCCCCTGCAGATACACCTGTCCCTTTGTGGAGAAATTTTCTATTGAGATTGAGACCTATTACCGTCCAGATGCTGGAAAACAGAACAACATCTTCAACTTGAATGCTGCCGAGCGCAGGCAGAGAATTGTCGGTAAGTGTGCACACATGGAACTCTGTGCATCACTTTGGATTATACTGAGAGTTGATAGAACAAGTTACTATTGCTAAGCAGGGAGGACGAGAAAGGCTAATGCATGATCTTTGTTGACATTTGAAAGGAAAGTTGGATGTAAGCTGGAGTCATTTGTTTAGTGCATAGCTTTGTTGAAGGAAAGTATGCATTAAGAATACAGAGTGGAGGGGAAAATGCAGACTTCTGTGTAAGGAGAAGTAGGAAGGAATGTGTACAGAATGACAAGTGGATGAAATAATATTTTTAATACATGGTCAGAAGAAAGGCTTTGACTTGGCAGGGAAAGGCAGTCTTGAGATCTATAGGAATGCTATCTATCCCAAAGGGTATTTGCACTACAGAGTTATAGCATTATGATGCCGCTTTAATCATCATGGCTCCATTTTATGATATTTTAGTTTAGTGAACAAATTAAGGTACCATATATACTCGAGTATAAGCTGAGTTTTTCAACCATTTTTTAGGCTGAAAAAGCCCCCCTCAGCTTATACTCGAATCTATTTTAATATTTTACTCTATTATTATTATTATTATTATTATTATTATTATTATTATTATTATTACACTCTATTTATTATTATTACATTTATTATTTTACTCTATTACTGTTACTATAATATTTCCATTATTTTATTCTTTTATTTATTTATTTTTATTGCCTGAATTAATGGAATTATATTGATATCTATTTTTATTTTGAAATTTACCAGTAGCTGCTGCATTTCCCACCCTCGGCTTATACTCATCTCAATACATTTTCCCGGTTTTTTGTGATAAAATTAGGTGCCTCGGCTTATGTTCAGGTCAGCCTATACTCGAATGTATACAGTAAATCCTTATTATTATTATTGTTATTGTTGTTGTTGTTATTATTATTATTATTATTATTATTATTATTATGCTCTCCTGATTGGAGCATTAACACAAGATAGCAGAGAGTTCTGCATACCTCAACAATCCCATGTTTCCTTAAGATGATACCACTACAGTTAAAGGAGTATCTAATATAATACAGTCCTGTTTGTTAGATACATCTTTGGTTTTCAATGGATGCCAGACATTTACTGTTAGCTTATCTTCTCCTCCATTTTATCCAGATACCATTGACATTGTGCGGGACCCCATCTCGCCCAGTGAATATAAGGTGGAAGAAGATCCACGACTTTATCGCTCAGTCAAGACCGGTCGTGGACCCCTGGGAGATGACTGGCTGGAGAATGCAACTAATGAGTCTCTTATGTGTGCCTACAAGCTTTGTAAAGTGGAGTTTCGCTACTGGGGCATGCAGTCCAAGATTGAACAGTTCATCCATGATGTTGGTGAGTATATGAGGATAGCTTCCACATTTCCCTCCAATGCAGTCCTTCTCCATCAAGCCAAATGAGTTTGGACAAGGAGACCTTCCAGGGAAGGGAAAGGGATGGCATGTATTTTAGTAGAAGTGGCAGAAGCATCATTCTTGCTTTCTCTGTGTGTCACCATATTTGTGCAGTGCTCCCTGCTGAACTGGCCTTCACACTTCCCCAAGACAACTTCACAGTGAAATGTGCTTTAATGACTGTCTAAAGATCCATTGATATTCCAGGTGTCTTGGGAGAACTTGAATTAAAGGTTCTAAGATTACTTTTTCTGAACTGATTATTTGTTTGCCTATTGTTTCATGGGCAGTGTACTACATATTCCTCTGATTAGTGTCAAGGGATTCCTCCTGCACATCAGTGCAGACAGTCCCTGAGTTACAAACATCTGACTTACAAATGACTCATATTTAAGAATGGGGGTAAGACAACAAGAAGTGAGAGAAATATACCTCTCAGAAGGGAAATTCACTCTTGAAAGAGTTTTCATGGGAAAAAGGTGTCTCCACTGAAGCTTTCTCACCTATCTGTTTTCACAATAAGCCAAAATTTTCGAAGTCCAATTATCACTGGGACAGAAAGTAAGATGAAATCTCCTGAACAAGGGCACAGACAGCAGAACAAACACCTGAGGGGTGTTAACCCTTCTCTATTCTATCCAAAGCTAATATATTTATTTGGCTATGGTTACATTTAAAAAATGTACTTGTTCCAACTTACAAACAAATTCAAATTAAAAGCAATCTACATAATCAATCTTGTTCGTAACTTGGGGATTGCCTGTAGCTGTTTTTAAGCCCATTGACCATTTTATTTTATTTTATTTTATTTTATTTTACTTATCATGTCAGAAGAAAATTGAGGGGACAGTTAAAATGTATTTAAAACACAAAGTTAAAAACTTGCCATTATTCTAAATGTCTTTTGACCAGTAGCTGGCCACTTGGAGTGCCTCTGGTGTCGCTGTGAGCAGGTCCTCCATTGTGCATGTGGCAGGGCTCGGGTTGCATTGTAATAGGTGGTCTGTGGACTCCACTTTGTAGCCCCATTTCTTAAGGTTGGCTCTACATCTCATGATGCCAGAGCACAGTCTGTTCAGCGTCTTCCAAGTTGCCCAGTCTTCTGTGTACCCAGGAGGGAGTCTCTCATTTGGTATCAGCCATGGATTGACATGCTGGGTTTTAGCCTGCCACTTTTGGACTCTTGCTTGCCGAGGTGTTCCTGTGAGTATCTCTGTAGATCTTAGAAAAGTATTTCTTGATTTAAGGCGTTGGCATGCTGACTGATATCCAAACAGGGGATGGGCCAGAGATGTCACTGCCTTGGTCCTTACATCATTGGCTGCTATTTCCTGGCAGATGTCAGGTGGTGCAATACCAGCTAGGCAGTGTAATTTTTCCAGTAGTGTAGGGTGCAGACAGCCTGTGGTAATGCGGCATGTCTCATTAAGAGCCACATCCACTGTTTTAGTGTGGTGAGATGTGTTCGACACTGGTTATGAATAGTTGCAGCCCCTCAAAGCAAGGGCAAGGGAAGATACAAGTTCCAGAGGTTTAGGGTGTATCTACATCAGGCTTGGGGAAAACTTCAGCCCTCCAGGTGTTTTGGACTTCAACTCTCACTATTCCTAACACCAGATAAGCTGGCTGGGATTTCCGGGAGTTGAAGTCCAAAACACCTGGCGGGCCAAAGTTAACCCATGCCTGATCTACATTGTAGAATTAATGTAGCTTGACTCCACTTTAGCTGCCTTTTCTCCATACTATGGAATCTTTGGTTTGTAGTTTGGTGAGGCCGCAACACTCTTTGGCAGGGAAGGCTAAAGATTTTATAAAACTACAAGTCTCATGGAAACATTCAGTTGGAATCAAAGGCAGTGCTGTCTTTCTTGATGCACTGGGAGCTTAAGCTATGGCTCTTCATGAGTGGGATAAACTATGGTTTCATAAGGGGGATTTGGGCAGCATTGGGCTGCGATGATTTTGGATGCCTCCTGCAGGTCTTCGAAAAGTGATGCTGCGAGCGCACCGCCAGGCGTGGTGTTGGCAGGACGAGTGGACAGATCTCACCATGGACGACATCCGGAGGCTGGAAGAAGAGACAGCACGTATGCTGGCCCAGAAGATGGCCACCTGCATAGAGCCTGCTACAGGCCCCACTCAGCCCAGCCCCGAGCGAGCAGATGAACTAGGAGACCATGACAAGCAAGACCGAGTTGATACCCTGAGGGCTCCCGATTCTTCCCCGGACGATCCCTTTGCCAAGCAGTGGTCAACGTCCTCCCGCTCATCCTACTCTTCTCAGCACGGTGGTGGGTAATCCTTGTACTCGGTGGAAACAGAGAAACGGCATTGGTTGTAGGGAAAGTAGAACAGCACCCCCCTTAGAGAATAAATGAGAGTTGCTGCTGGAGGTAGGCTTCTGGTGTGGTGGATTATTATAAAGTTACAATGACTAAAATCAAAAAAACTGCTTGCCGTATTGTCTGGGATCAGAAAAGCTGCTGGTTGTATTGTTTGGGGGGAATTCTGAGACCATAACAGAAACAACAGCAACAATAACAGCAAAAATAGCTCCTGTCAGCTTGGGTGGGCTGACTGGCTCCTGTAATTGAGATCAAGATAGAAGATTGTCTCTGCTCTCACACTGGATTAAGCAGGAATTCCTGAGTGACTCTTTCTTTTATAATTTGTTGACTTGCCTCTCTTGACTTTGACCAGGGATGTATGAAGTGCAGCCTTGGAGCTGTATGTGTCCTCCTCACACCTCCCAGGGATGCTTTTATTTACACTCGGCTCCTCCAAAATTTCCAGACTAACCCCTTTTACCACAAAAAAAATAAAAAAATAAAAACACAGATAGTGAATTGCTGCTCCTGGAAGCCTTCGGCTGCACCATTTGCTGTTTTAAATAGGCCGCAAGCCTTCTCCATACTTCTCCTTCTCAACAAAAAGGAGGAAACCATGAAAATGAACAAAATCTGGCTACCAGTATTAAAAAAACTCCAAAATTAAAACAGCAAAACAGCAGAGGGTAAACAATCAAGGACATCTAATCACCTCTCAACAAAAGATTGCTCCAGGCATTTCCAGGCCATCAAATGCTAATCAAGATGGTCAGCTGAAACATTCACACCTAGCTCCAGCAGACAAGAGTTCTTTGTCCCACCCTAGTCCTTCCACAGATATATAAACCCTTTTTCCTAGTTCCAACAAACCTTACTACCTCTGAGGATGCTTGCCATAGATGCAGGCGAAACGTCAGGAGAGAATGCCTTTAGAACATGGCCATATAGCCCAAAAAAAAAAAACCTACAACAAACCACTTCTCCATACTGTATAACATTTTAAAAAAAGTTATTTTTGAAAACCAGAAGTGAATTTATAGAAACTGTGAGGAGTTGTGTTATTTTCTTTTGATAGTTTGTGTGGCTCCTAGAGGGTCCCAGAGCACAAACATAACCTTTCTCAGTCTTTCCACCCTGCATTTTAATATAATAGTAGTAGTAGTAGTAGTAGTAGTAGTAGTAGTAGTAGCAATAAAAATAATCATCATCATTGACATCACACAGTCCTAGATGCTTGGGAAGTGTTTGACTTGTGATTTTGTGATATGAAATCTAGCATACATATCTCATTTGCTGTGATATACTGTGTTTTTGTGTCAGTAAAATAATAATAATAATAATAATAATAATAATAATAATAATACAAAATCTTTATTTATACCCCGCCACCATCTCCCGAAGAGACTCCCAGTGGCCCGCAAAGCATTCAAAGGTGCAAACAGACAAAATACAACAAGTGCGTAAACAATAACACAAAAGCAATAACAACCAACCTAACCATCATAAAACCCCCATGGTTAAGATCAATAAAATAATTTTGACACATTCTGCATTGTTTTATCAAAATCTTTGACTTATGCAGGCATCTGGGTGGCATTGTGTCGGGCACACATGTTCATTTAAAGAGAGAAGTTGATAGAAGTGTCCATGGTTCAGAGAAATGCCCAAAATACACATTTCTCTTTCCCCGTTTTTCCACCTCCATCTCTAATTCCTGCACCCACCTAGGAATTATAGTTCTGTGTTTTTTAATTACCACATGAAGGGATAGGGATTCGTATCTGCACCTGAATTTGTGTACACTTTTCAAAGGAGGAAGAAACTGCACAGAAATTCCGTTGTGAAATTAACTGCTGTAACAATTGTCTGCTATTTGTCTTGGTCAATTTCACCACTCACTTTTCTTGTCTGACACAAATGAAAGGTGTCTCACTTAAGATGATAAAAATAGAAGCTCCTCACAGCAGAGGCCTCCCTTCATATTCTTACAGTAAGCTGCTGATATCAGAGTTTGCAGTTGCAATAAGACCAAAGTTTTTCCTCTTCATAGAAATACTTCTCTTAGTTCAGCCTATGATAAGGGATCATCTTCTACATCTGCAGCTTTCTGGAAAAGCCTTTTATTATTCCATTGAATAAATCTAAAAACGGAATTTTACAGACGGTCTAGACAAAAAATGTTGATTTGTAATTGTTCGGTGTTCTATCATTCTTTCTTTCTTTTTTTCCTACCAAAAATGCATTACAGAGGGACAGAAGGAGTAACAGCACATTTCCTTTAGTCTGGAACTAGGAGCCATTTTGAGTTATTCAAACCAAATAATCTAGCTGCAGTCGCCCATGTATAGGTAATGGTTTGACTACTGCATTGCACTCTGCATGGGGCTGCCCTTGAAGACAGCCCCGAAGTCTAATCTAGTATACCATTCAGCAGCCAGACTAATGACTGGAACACCGTATTGGAACCATGTAATAACAGTTTTACTTTGACTGTCAATGCACTTCCAATCTAAATTCAGTGTGCTGGTGATAACATTTAAAGTTCTTAGGACTTAGAATCTCAGTACTTGAAGGACCACCTTTTTATGTTTACATCTGTTTACATCTGCCCAAAGATTGAGCTCTGCTGGAGAGGGCCTGCTTTGTGTCCCACCAGTGAAGCAATGTCTTGTGGAGGGCTGTGTCTGCTGTGGTTCCCTAATTGTGGAATATCCTCCCCGAGTCCCCATAGCGGCCTAGCTGGTGTCCAATGAAGACATGGATTCCAAAAAAACAGAAAATGCCCATGCTTTAAAATGATCTTAAAGCTTGATTTAACTTGCTAAATTGTTTGCTTTCAGACTTTTACAATTATTCCTACTATTTTAAATCATTTTAAATTGTTTGAATTAATTATGTTGTGAGCCACCCTGTGATCCTTATATGAATGTTAGGATATATTGCTGTTTCACGTTGAGTATTCCTTATCTAAAGTTCTTGGAGCCAGAAGTGTTTTATAGTTCGGATTTTTTCAGATTTAGGAAAACATGTTTTTGCTTATAATGAGTTATCTTGGAAATAGGACCCAAATTTACACATGAAGCCCATTTATGTTTCACATATACATCATACACATAGTTGGAAGGCAATTTTACAGACAATACCTTAAATAATTTTGTGCATTGTGTACACTGAACACCAGAAAGTAAAGGTGTCACTCTCTCAACCACCCATGTGGACAATATTGGATTTTGCAGTGTTTTGAATTTCAGATTTCTAGATAAGGGATACTGTCTCTGTTTAATATGTCTCCACAGCTGCGGTGTCTCCACACAGCTTATCAGAGTGGAGAATGCAAAATATTGCCCGAGATTCAGAGAACAGCTCTGAGGAGGAATTCTTTGACGCTCATGGTAAGAAACAGGGAGCATGCTGTGTGTTAAATCTGTGTCCAAAGAAGGTGCAGAGCGGAAAGAGGACCTTGTTGCTGTTAAGAATGAACAGAATTTGGAAAAGTTATTTTTGAACTACAAATCCCAGACCCTCTAGCTATATTGGCAGAGATCTCTGAGAATTCTGGTCCAAAAAAGAGGGGGCCGCCATGGCGCAATGGGTTAAACTCTTGTGCTCCTGAACTGCTAACCTGAAAGTTGGCAGTTCGAATCCGTGGGACAAGGTGAGCTCTTGCTGTTAGCCCTAGCTCCTGCCAACCCTAGCAGTTCAAAAACATGCACATTTGAGTAGATAAATAGGTATTGCTTCACGTGACCAGGAGATGACAACACGGGCTCCTCGGCTTGGAAACGGAGAACAACACCTCCCCCAGAGCCAGAGATGAGCACTGCCTCCAAAGTTGGAAATGAAAGGGGAAGCCTTTGCCTTTGTTTGTGTGTCTCATTGTGTTATAACAGGGCATTGAATGTTTGAATGTTTGCTGGTATCTGTTTATACTGTAATCTGCTCTGAGTCCCCACGGGGAGAAGGGTGCAATATATATTGTTATAAAAAAGTAACTTTTCCAATCTCTGGTTCTGACCGATGCAACTTCAGCCATACAGCAGCTAATCTGCATGAATGAGATCTCAGTAGATTGCATGTGGAAATTGTATCTTTTTTGAGATAAAGACTGTCCAGACTCATAAGATGTATTTGTGTGATAAGGGTCTTATTTTAATTCTTTGTACAGCAGTATGTGTGCTGATGCGGAGATAAAGCTTAGCTCAGTGATAAAGGTTTTGTATAAGAGGAGGTTAAGAGGAGTGGTGGTTCTCATGAAGCTTTTCCTTGATTTGAGTCTACTGGGAGGAGGCTGATAGCCATGCAGTGGGTGGCTTTCACAAGAGTTCAACCTTATTTCTCTCATAGATAGCAGCAACTTCCCATCGCACATCGGGGGGGGGGGGGGGGGGGGGGCAATGCTAGCTAGCTTGTAGAGTATATCAACAGGTGTTGGTTTAAGACATCCTGTGATTATTCTGCATGTTTCGTTCAATGTTATGTTCACATTAGAGGATAGAGTCCTTAATCACATTTTTAGGCATTTTTAGTCCTGTCTGCAAACAACTCATAGTAAGACTGATGAATTGTTATAGAGGACGTTTTACCAGAAAAGAATGTACTGGGCTAGATACGTCATTGACTTGACTTGTGAAAACTACCTTTTATATACCTTACGTTTGTCTCGTGTTCACGCACAATTGTGGCTGAAGCTGTTGTGGGTGTAATATGTGTTCACAGTGCTTATATACTGTGTGAGTTTTTCAATGACCTTTTCTTCCCTAGAGGATTTCTCAGACAGCGACGACGTTTTTGCCAAGGAAATCACTAAGTGGAACTCCAACGATTTTCTCGACACTCTGGAGAGACCCATTGAGCCGGATGATGTTCTTGGTAAGAAAAAAAGGAGTTGACGTCTGTAACGCAGAATGGAATGGGCCATGGGAGTGCGTCCATTCTGGTCTCTTACCTTGAACATAACTTCTGAACATAACTGATAAGAGACACCAAATTCATTGGCCACACATCTGTGCATACATTTTTTAAAAAACAGACCAAATTTTGTGGAGATGCTTTGTGTGGGTATCTGTGTTTATGTTTAGTTTCACATAATTTAGTTATGTATTTGGAATATTTAGGGATCATGGCATATTTTTTCAATAAAGGGTTGGCTTAATTTTTAGAAAATGGAAATTGTTCTCTTTTTTTCTGAGACTGTAAAATTGGTGGAAATTATGTGGCCCTGCAGATGGGATTCGAAGTCCATCAGCCTTAGCTAGCATAGCCAGTGGTGAGGAATCTGGAGTGGGTGCTATTGGGTGAGTGGGCTTATTAACAAAAGACCCTCCCTATGAATGTACAGCAGAGTAAACAGCGTGACTCAGCACTAGTAGCCAAAAGTGATAAAAAGAACAAAAACACACAGACTAATGTTATCTCTTCCATAGGAGGCTTTTCTTTGTAGTAAAATAATATGGTTGCACTATTTACAGCAACAGAGTTCTTTATACTTCCTTCTTAGCTTCCACGCTGGGTTTCTTTCTCATGTAGATAAACAGCTTCGTTCTCACAAAGCCTCTTCTACACCGAACTTACACAAGAGCTTCACACAGTAGCTTTACACACAGCAGCCTTCACACTGGAGCTTCACACACAATGGCCTTCAACCTGGGTCTTCTCTCAAACTGAGGCATTCCCTTACACTAAGGCCTTCTCATGTTGAGGCCTACTAATACGGAGGCCTTTCTTCCACAGAGACCTCTAACATACTGAGGGCTATTAAGGTACAGGCACACCTGCTGATATAAAACTACAGCTTTTGCTTTGTCACTGCATCCATTTAACCCATCCAGTGCTTGACTCACGTTTTTGTAATTAAAAATACCTAGTTAATTTCTAATATTTCTGATCGGTGCATGGATGTAAATTGACAGAAAGGTTTAAATTGAGGGTGCTCCCTTCTTCCTTTCTAGTAGTCAGTGGTGCCCACATGAAGATATTATTAATTTTCTGTTTTTTAAAAAGCTGTTCTGCACAAACAGCTGAAATATTTCAGGGGCTTTCTCTCTTGCTGTGTGACTTGGAGACTTTATTTTAAGAAAAGGAAAGCAAAACTAAAAATATATGCTGTTGGACTTTGTATTAGGTTTTATGTCTAACTTTTGCAGCATAAGCATAACCACACAGCTTCCTGGACTACGGGTTCTCAATCTTGAGTCACCAGAATTCCTCACCATTGATTATGTTAGCTGGATTTTCTGGTAGTTTCAATCCACCAACATCTGAGAGCCTAAAATTTAGACCACCTTTGTTTATTGTTGCAAAAGCAAGGCATTTTGGTGACACATCTCTTTCTCTTTGTCTTTGATGGGCCACTTAAAATCTTTGCATTCCTATATCTGGTTGATGTCCTTAGACCCTGGCATTGCTTTTCCTTCTGCTATTTATTCCTGGAACTTGTACCATTCATTTAAATATCATTGTCTTTCCAGTTGATGCTGCTGGGGTAGCCAAACCAGATAGCGATGGGGTCGCTGTACCTGGCCCCTCGGAGGTGAGTAAACTCCTGAAACAAGCCAAAGAAGAGAACTTGGGGGTATTTAACGGTTGTATTAACAGGTGCATTTCCAGAAGGTCCATTTGCAGTGCTATTATTCCACTTTAACTACCATTATTCTGTCCTATAGCATCCTATGGTTAATACTTTGCTCAAAAGGGGCAGAGGAGCTCCCTAGCAGAGGGGTCTAAACACTTCCTTAAACTGCATATCCAAGGATTCAATAGGACAGAACCATGCTAGTTAAAGTTGAATTGTAATTATTTAGTGTGAACAAGCCACAGGATCCTGGCTGCATTTCATGGTACCAGGTTCAATTCCCTTGACATGGTTTACATCAAAGGTGGGAAACCTCCTTAATTCCAAACACAAAATTCTGTTTTACTGGAACACTCAGGGGATGGGTTACTGTGAGTTTTCTGGGCTGTATGGCCTTGTTCCAGAAGCATTCTGTCCTGACATTTAACCTACATCTATGGCAGGCATCCTCAGAGGTTTAGGGGGGGGGGGGTCTGCTGGAAACCAGACAAGTGGGGTTTATATATCTGTGGAATGTCTAGGGTGGGAGAAAGAACTCTTTGTCTACTTGAGGCAAGTGTGAATGTTGCAATTGGCCACCTTGATTAGCATTTAATGGCCTTGCAGCTTCAAAGCCTGGTTGATTGCTGCTTGGGGGAATCCTTTGTTGGGATGCATTAGCTAGCCCTAATTGTTTCTTATCTAGAATTCCCCAGTTTTTTTAGTGTTGTTCTTTATTTACTGTTATGATTTTAGAGGTTTTTTTTTAAAACTGGTAGCCAGATTTTGTTCATTTTCATGGTTTCCTCCTTTCTGTTGAAATTGTCCACATGCTTGTGGATTTCAATGGCTTCTCTGAGTAGTCTGACATGGTGGTTGTGAGAGTGGTCCAGCATTTCTGTGTTCTCAAATAATATGTTGTGTCCAGGCTGGTTCATCAGGTGCTGTGCTGTGGCTGACTTCTCAGGTTGAATTAGTCTGCAGTGCCTTTCGTGTTCTTTGATTCCCCCAGGGAGCAATCAGCCAACCTTTGAAGCTGGAAGGCCATTCAGTGCTAATCACGGTGGCCAATTGCAATATTCACACTTGCCTCACGCAGAAAAGAGTTCTTTCTCCCTCCCTTGACATTCCACAGATATATAAACCCCACTTACCTAGTTTCCAACAGACCTTGCAACCTCTGAGGATGCCTGCCATAGATGTGGGCAAAATGTCAGGAGAGAATGCTTCTGGAACAGGCCATACAGCTTGGAAAACTCACCTAACCCAGTGATTCTGGCCATGAAAGCCTTCAACAATACTCAGGTGATGCTTTCAGATAGTGAGCAAAACTAAAGGTAAACATTTGGGACCAAACATATTAGGATGTTTTAGTAGTAAGCTGCCAGTACTAAAGCCTTAGAAGAAGCATTTGAAAATTTTAGAATGGAGAGGTGTGGGACTGTACAAGCCACCAAAGTATTGTGGGGAAGGAGGCGTGACCATCTGAGAAACTCCAGAAAGCCAGATTTAGCCCCAGGGTCGGAGGTTATTATCTTCCCATCCATATTGCATAATATCAGCCATATCTCCAGTCAACTACAGCCATAATCATCACTTTTCCCTATTTCTGATTTCCATAGGGTAGCTCAGAAGGTCTCTCGGGGACGTGCCGCATCCATGCGCTTTTCCTGATCCTCCACAGTGGCAACATCCTGGACCAAGGTGTGGGAGAGCCTGGCTCCAAGCAAGCTGACGTGCACACCCTCACTGCCACCTTGGACTCAGTCACTCGCCTGCATTTCCCAGAGGCATTGGGGCATGTTGCACTCCGCCTGGTGTCTTGCCCTCCAATCTGTGCCGCGGCCTACACTCTTGTCTCCAAGTAGGAAGCATGTTTTCTCAGACTTCTGGGAAGATTTGGTGGGGGCTGGGGGTGTCCACCTTTCAATCTATCTGTAGCCAAGTGTGAAGGGGCTCAGCACGAATGGCAGTACTTTCTCTGCCTAGGCTGCAGAGGAATTAAACCTTTGATAGGTTTTGTGTAGTAGAGAAAAGCATCCTTTTTGATAGTGTGTGCATTGAAATAGGAAAGGAATGTGATGCGGATGACGCATTGCTTTGAGAGTGAGTATCCAGGAGAGGGGAACAGTGTTTAATGTGGTGTTGTGGAGGAGCTTCTTGGAGTAAACTCTCTTCCCTCTTTTTTCAGCTCTCTGGCTCTCTTCTTCCCCCAGATGCTCATGAATTTTGGCTATTTGGGGGAACTTCCATCTCATGCTGCTGGTTTCAACTTGGAATGCTGTTAGCCCAATGGCAGTTCTAGCACTTGACTCTGAGAGTGCTTTTTCTTTCTATGCGGAATGGAGGATGTCAGTGCTCTAATTTTGGTTCTAGAGCTTAGTCCAGAAAGTGATCTGATTGTCAAACAGATACTTTCGGAGCTCTGGGCAAAAGTTTGGGCTGTCCAGCAGTTTGGGATCTGAACGTGGGTCTTGATCATTTCTTCCTTCTACCTTCCCAGGCTCAGCCCTTACAGTCATGATGATGACAGTCTGTCCAGTAGCCAAGATCACATCCCACTGGCTGCTTTGCCTCTCCTGGCCACTTCCTCAGGCGGTTACCAGAATGCGGTGGCGACCGTTATTTCTCGAACCAACCAGGCCTACACCAATTTCATCCACTCCCCTGATGGCACCGGCTTCTGTGGTCAGGTCAGAGGGCAGGGAATTCAGAAGGCTCACATAGGATAGGCTGATGTTAAATTACTATGTGCTAAGCCAGAAAAGGTCTGATCCAGAGATGGGCTATGACTCCCATCATCCACAGCACTGGCTACGGTTTATGGGAGTAGTGGTGCAACACCTGAAGGCCAACATATTATCCAACCATTTGAAAAGTGCATACATTTCTGAGAGCCCAAATGTTCCTGCTGACCAAGCCATTTTATCCTGTGTCCTTGATTTGTTTTGTCTTCTTTTGAGATAGAATTAGAGCAAAGGAAGAGTAAAATTCTCAAAATACTGAAGCAAAATGAGTTGGAAGAAAAGTGATAGGTAATCTTTAAGGATAGTTGAGCATAACCTTCCCATCAACCCAACTAGGTCATTTCCTGATTAAGAAGGTCCTAGCTCCAGTACAACTCTTCATTTTGACCCTCATACCTGTTTACAAAGAACCGTTGGTTGTTCACATATTTGCATTATATACCCCTCTTCCTTTTTAAAAACTAAATTCCCCAAGATACCTTGGTTTGGACCTACACATAGGATAGGGAACGGGGATGTAATTTTTAGGGTTTACCTTTTTGCCTTTGGTTGAGAAATTGTGCCTTTTTGCCTTTGGTTGAGAAATTGGCAGAGCTTGTGCTGTCTTTGTTTTGTTTTTGTTTGTTTTTTTCTATGTCAGGAGCGACTTGAACAACTGCAAGTCATTTGTGGCGTGAGAGAATTGGCCGTCTGCAAGGGCGTTGCCCAGGGGATGCCCGGATGGTTGATGTTGTACCATCCTTGGAGGCTTCTCTCATGTCCCCACAAGGGGAGCTGGAGTTGACAGAAGGAGCTCATCCACACTCTCACCAGATTCGAAACTCTGACATGTCCTGCCGGCACAAGGATTTAACTCATTGCACCACCAGGGGCTCCTGCTTTCTCTGATGAGATCTCAACTAATTACAAATGATTTCTGACATATTAGCTTATCACATGGGGCAGATAAATTGCAATTGCAGCTGGCTAATAGCATCTCATGACATTGTTCCTTTTCTGCTGTTCTCCCCAGTAGGATGCCATTTGGAAAGATTTTCTTTTAGAAACGCACAAAGAAAATCCATTAATGATGTCATTTTGTAAAAGAAATGCTTTCCACTGATCTCCCAGTGGAAGAACAATAGAAGAGAAACAGTGTCATGTGATAAACGCTGTTGTTATCCTAGTGAAATTTATCCATTTTGTATGATAAGATCTATAAGCATGAAGACACCTGGATGTTCACTTTCTTTTTGCAGGTGCTGCTAATTGGGGACTGCGTTGGAGGCATCCTTGGCTTTGATGCCCTATGCCATAGCCGTGCCGGTGGGTCTGGCAGTCGTGGGAGCAGCCGCCGTGGCAGCATGGTCAGTGATTGAGCCAAGAGATTAACATTCTTTCCTATGCCCAAGATTTAGTCTTTTCCTTCTCTTCAATTTTAAGAGAGAAAATCAAAGTGGCTGGCAGAAAAAGGCTCACCAGGGGGGAGGGTGTCAGAAATATTTAAAATTAACTAGGTATTTTTAATTACAAAAATGTGAGTCAAGCAGTGAAAGGGTTAAATGGATGCAATGACTCAGCAAAAGTTGCAGTTCAATATAAGCAGGTGTGCCTATAGCTTAGTAGCCTCAGTCTGTGAGAGGTCTCTGTGGGAGAAAAGCCTCAGTGTTTTAGTGGGCTTCAGTATATGAAGGCCTCAGTGTTAGTTCACCTCAGTGTGAAAAGGTCTCACTGGGAGGAAGGCCTCAGTGTGAAGTAGGCCTCAGTGTTAATGGCTTCGGTTTGAGAAGGCCTGGTGTGAGAAGCTTTGGTGAGATGAAGCCCCAGGTTAAAGGCCCTCATGTGTGAAGCTCCAGTGTGAAGGCTGCTGTGTGTGAAAAGCTCCTGTGCAAGTTTGGTGTGAGAAAAGTCTCTGTGAGCGTGAAGCTATTTTATCTGCATGAGAAAGAAGCCCAGTGTGGAAGCAAAGAAGAAAGTTTAAAGAACTTCATTTATGGAAACCTTGTTTTTGTAAATAGTGCAACCATATTATTTTGCTACAAAGAAAAGCCTCCTATGGAAGAGATAACATTTATTCGTGTGTTTTGTTCTTTTTTATCACTTTGGGCTATTGGTGCTGGGTCACACTGTGCTGATAAGTTAGTGTGCTGTACATTTATAGGGAGAGTCTTTTGTTAATAAGCCTTCTCACCCGGTTGGGGGTTGGGGTGGGGGGCTCAGAATGAACATGAGAGGAGCAAGATCTTCTTCTGATTTGGCTCCAACAGTGGGCAGTGGTACTCAGGAATGTGGTCTGTTCTGATCAAGCAGTTGCCCATGCTGGCTCCGTCTCTTTTTGAGACCTTGCCAATTCTGAGTCTATAAAAACTCCCAGAAGTAGATTTAGTCCTCTATACCCATGGATTCTGCATCCATGGATTTAACCATCCATAGCATGAAAATATTTTTAAAAATCCAGCAAAGGATCACCGCCTTGTCGGGGTGCTGGAGCTTGAGCACCTCAATGATGTCATGAGCGAAACCGTGAAGGGACACCCAAGACGGGACGGTTGTGGCAGAGAGGTCAGACCAAGCGTGATCCCTGGGGAAGGCAATGGCAAACCACTCCAGTATCCTTCCCAAGAAAACTAAATGGACCAGTACAACCAGAGATATGCCGGTATGCCA